AGATGCTCTGAGCGTCCGTCCGCGTATGTGCGACTTAGAGATGCATGGGCTTTCGGAGATCAGCAACGACACCCAGGTACCGACGGCGGGTCGATCAAGGAATAGTACTCCCCCCTCTATGCTGGCGCTTAGCCTAGAGAGAAGTATCGTGCGTCGATACAAGTCCAGAAGAAGACGTGAGTTTCGTGACCGAGGCCCCAACCCCTACCCTACCAAGGCGGACGATTTAAAGGGAAAAATGGAAAGCCGTCGAGAGGAGGGGGGGGGGAGGCGTGTGGCGGATGAGCACTCCAGACACTCATTGCTACGGTGAGCTTCAAACGTCACACGGGAGGTCTACCAAGCGGCTGCCGTGCAACCTCCAAATGATCACCAACCCCTGAGGCCATATGCGAGCTGTGCTTTGTGGAATACGATTAAACGAATCGAATGGTGAACTGGGCGGGATGACGCGCGGGTGGGGGGGAGGGAGGTCTATGGAGTGGCATATTACATGTGCCCTGGATATTGCAGTCCAGTAAGTCAGCCACCTGGGTACAGTAATGGTTCGAGGCGTGAGGGTGGGTGCGGAGCATGTATTCCTGCATAGCCTTTTGCCAACTGCTACCTCGTGATCCCCTCGTATGTGTGATTCATAGGCAGAAAGCATTGCCGCGAACGGAGCACAGGTCGTCCTGTCGTGACGGGCCCGCGTCCCTTGTCTGACAAGTTCGCAACTTTGCACCACAGCTGCAATGATAGATCGACAGGCTGGCTAGCTGGCTGCCGACGTAAGTAATGTAGGTATGTACGTAGGTATTTCGAGTTGTCTACATCATACCACCTACGCGTATGTAGACATATAGGCAGGCATGTAGGGTAGGTGTGTGTATGTAGAGGCTGCATGGCTGCGAAGGATCCACGCACCCGAGACTCTCACCGCGGCCTTTATACGGACTGTCTTACCTGTCTGCATGGATAGGCAGGTAGATATGTAGGTATGTGTGTACACAAGTGTGTCGGTATGTGTCGGTATGCAGATATGCATCCTATACTATAAGGACCTAAGATGATGCTGACATGCCTACACCTCATTGACGCCAATCTCATACGCGCATGTATAAGAGGCACGTATTCCCACGTATAGTAGCATCCTATCGCTACATCCGAGCAGGAGTGCCTAACGCACGGGGTCAGCCTCGATTGTTCCTCTGTGGGGTGCAGATAAGGTAGGGATCGCATGCGGTTAGACTCGCGAGTCTTTTTCCTCGAGGACGGTAGCGGAGTGTTTTTTTTTTTTTTCTCTCTCTCCTCACCCCCCATCTCATGTCTTCTACGTGGGGAGGATGCGCCGGAGGGGGCTGGATGGCCCCGTAACGAGGTAGCGGGATGCCGGATAGCGATGTACGAGAGATCGCGGCCAATAAGTACAGGTGTTCGTCGATTGCGGTTGGGGAGGCAGAATGCGAATAGCAACCCGTCGCCGTAAGAGTGATATTAACCGCGTTTCAAAGTATGCAGCATCGACCACCCATTCGTACCGAGATGGTGTTCTAGAAACACAGCATGGTGGTTCGATGAACCTTCAAGACGAGAGAGTTGGACCCGTGCACTCGTAACGATACCCTCTCTGCGTCCTGCCTGCAAGCATCGTCTATTTACTGAGCGATCCGCACACCACTTGCTGCCCGCTCTCCCCTTCGTCTTCGGAAATTCAGGCTCCATAAGAGCGGATCAGCGTGCCATCACATCGTTCTAGAACTAGACAATCCCCTTCTGACATTCGGTGCATGTTGGCGAGCAAGCATTAGCATTGTCGGAGACAGACAGGCTTCTCGTTGTACGACAAGAGTGATTAGTGGAAGATCCCTACGCGAACATGTCAATACGTATCTAGGCTTGCTCTCTCACTGGTTACGGCCAGGGGGGATGGCTTTACGGAGAAATAACGCGACCCGAGAGCCGGACGGGCGGGTTCGCCGGGGATGCGGTTAAGCAAGGGAATCAATCAAAAATGCAGTCGAGATGCTGCGGTGACATGCATGTTCACTGAATGGAGGGATGCGGAGGAGCTGCAAGTTGTCTTGGGGGGGGGGAGCAGGGGCTTGCGGGTGAGTCCTCGATATGAAAGAGGCGCCGGGGGGACAGGGAGAGCGGGAGAGCAGACGACAAGTAGTGCCATAGCTGCATCAACCATTGCACCCGCATCCCGCGGCCAGCCAAATGCTTCCCGCGTCTCTATACCTACCTATGTCCGACGTACCCACGTGTGTATATTACTAGGGTAACTAGGGTATACTACGGGACGCACCTGGGGGTTCAAGGGCTGGATGGATTCGGAGGTGACATGAGGATTAGGATTGGGGAGACGGATATGATCCTACACATCGTGTACGTTAGCGCTACATGTGGTGCTATACAATGGGGGAGGGTAGAGGGGGAGGGGGGTTCTCCAAATACATCGAAGTCGAGTCCCTTAACGCCAGCCACCCGAGGTCTTTCCGCGATCCAGACTCGATCAACATCACCATGCGCATTACATAGGATTCCGCAAGCTGAGCTGACCTGCATCTATGACATCCTATAAGTCGACGTGTCGTATACCCTACAAGGTGAACTATGGGTAACAACGGATCGTCCCCCAGTCGCTGTTAGCTCATTTCACCCAGCTGTTTTTCTACCCGCCCGTCCTCTTACGATGTCCGTTGCATGATGCCAATCTCACTGTACTAAGCTATGTAGGGCAGCTTTAGATGCTTGGTCCGTCTTGCTATCCCTCCGTTTGGGAATGGGCGAGCTGAACTGGACGGCCTTATTGGTCCCATCTTGAGCTCTTGGGTCATCGAAATCTGGTCGAACCCACGCAGACGACAGGGCCTCGCGGCAATGCGGGCAGGGGAGGGGGAGGGGGGCGGCGCAAGGGACAAGACGAGTCTGTCTCTCTTGCTCTCTTTTCCCCCCCAACAGAGCGGGGCGTGGTCAGCGCGGGAAACATGGGAGCCAAGCAGCCCAAGCAGCAAAAAGCAGCAAGCAAGCGATAGAGCTCACGCGCACCTAGAGTGGGCGAACAGGAAGAGGCAGGTTTGAAACCGGGAAAAATACATATGTGAAGGCGGAGGAGAACAACAACGACAAGGCCAAGACCTTGCGCCGCTGCCACGATACGAGTCCCAGCCCCTCTAGGCCGCTCCTGTCACGCCTAACGGCGGTGGCGCTCGTGGTGTAGGATGGGGCTAAGAACCTCATTTGTTGCGCCTCAGGTATATGCGTGGGATTATTTCCAGAGACGCTCCTCCGTACCGTCCGCATCACGGCTCGTCCGACACGGAATCAGCCTACCCATGCCCCCCCCAGGTAGTCAATCCATTCACAACGCGGAGTGGCATGTGCGTATGCGTGCATGTACGTAGGTAGGTATATGTATGATAGCTACGTATGTCATGGGAATCGTCTGCCGCGTCAGATACCCCTGTTTTCCTCAACCCCCTCCAAGAGAACACCCGACCCACGGACTTCTAGCCCTTCGAGCCGGCTATTACGCTGCATCGCCCTAAAAAGAGAATCCTCCCGTCCTCGTTGGTGCCACCGGTTGGGATGCGGTCGGTGATGTATGTGCGTGTCGATGCATGTGCTACCCGTCCCACCTCTCATCATCGAGAACTCGACTCTCGCCCCTCCTCGCCACCACACCTCTACATCACGCATCCTTACCCATAGGGCCGGTTTTCATTGCACGTACAAACCGATATACCACCTATGCTGCCGCTGCTGCTGCTGCTCCTGCCGCTGCACCCACCACCTCGCATATCCACGACGACGCAAGGTAAGCCCCTCGATCCCTTTCTCTGTGCCATCCCGGATTGGGGCTCATGGCATGATGATCCGACACGCCTACACTTAGACGGGCCAGGCATCTTCGCCCGGGTATTCTAGGGGGTGGGATTGCTGGCCCGGAGAGTTCCTAGGTCAGAGAGGAGAGAGGGGGGGGATTCGGATAGGACGCGAAGCAGGAAGAGCCCAGTCGTCCACCGCATATGCTCTCTTCGCAGTACGCGGTTGACAGCTCCCCTAACATAGCCAGCGGCACTAGATGGAGGGCCGGCTCAGGTGAGAGAGGAGCGCTCAAAGCACGGTGACAGGTCATGATTCCCGTCGGTTATGTGTTGGTATCACCTTTGCTCCCCTCGTCCAATCACCATCTCGGCCAGGGGTGCGGAATACCGTACCCCAAAGTGTGATCAATCAGCATTCCCGTGAGCGGCCCGAATTGCTCTTTTCGCACTCGACCGCGGGCAGTCCGAACCGACATTTATTTTGTCATGGGCCGCGGGCGAAGCCGACCTTGGATGCCTTGATCGTTTCATTACTGCGCCCTCAGCACTCATCTGTCGCACACGCCCCCCTGGTTGTCTCCGGCTTATAACACACCAAGAGTGCCGGGTATGGTATGTTTGGGAGAAAAAAAAAAAGAAGAAAAGAGTGCATGGAGACGATGTAGGATGTAAGCGTCTCGTTCGTCGTTCGTCTTGGACGCCAGGCATTGGATACCATCGTCATATGCATCCGCCACCTTTTTAGGCTCTTCCCGTCCTTCGTACATATCCGCTCCCATCCGTGCAGATCCATGTTCGTTGGGATGGGGGAAGCCATCGATCCGCCGCTGTGCCGTATCCGCAGTTGTGCGCCTCCTCTTCTCCCCTCCCTCTCTTCTTTTTCAGCTTCGCTTGCAGCGTTTGTCTTGGGTTTTGTGAAACCCGCCCATTATAACAGATCGCGAATAGGTATCCCAGGCGAACAGGATCGGCCAGCGCCTATACCGGTATACATACTGATCGTCACGATGCCTACTATGGTTACACGTGTTTAGGATTACTATACATACATATATTGCCACTATATATGCATGAGTGTGGTCGCATATAAGTATCTAGGTAGTTACTCACTATTACATTGGATATTTATATATAGATATATATCTTATACGCATACGCAATTTAATCCCAAACATCCGCTCCCGGTAATGTGTAGAATATATACCTAGAATAGATCATTTGTATGGGCATAGACGCAGTCTCGTACATGCCCCCCTCTTCTCTATTATTGTAATGCCTAGCTACATACTACCCAACGAAAGTATGAGTAGGTACATGAGAAGAGAGAGAGAGGGAGGGGGTGACGACGACGACGAGAGTGTGTGTATGCCGGACCGGCCACGGCGAAGCGGGTGTAGAGAGAAAAAAATACCCATTTGATCCACGCCTGTCATCCTTCTGCCGCACGTGGATGGCGCAATCCGATCTCTCGGTCATAGCGTTCTTGTCGCTGCATGGTGCTAGGACCTGTTTCGTCATGAACTGCTACAAGCATAACGAGCAGAGCATATCCATATATGTGCCTACCGACCCAGGCCGTGCGTTTTGTTGGTGCTCTCCCGTTCGCATTCCCGAAGGCCATCCAAACGCGGTGCGCGCATACGTGTTTCGGCTTCGATGCTATAGCGAAAGGCCCCCCGCAGGAAAGGGGGGTTCTCTTGATCATAGCCCCGACGAAGGCATTGCTGTCAGTCGATACAAGCTAGCCGTCCCACACCAGACTTATCGTCGTGGGCTCCTCCGGGGGGGGGGCCTCTCTCCGACCGGGGTGGGATGGGCCGCAATAATGCGCCACGGCTTGCTGCAGGTGTTTGACGTTGCAACCTCGCCAATTAATGGGCATACCTGACGAAGAGAGGCAAATCAGAGTTGACGCTGCTGAGCGATTTATGGGATGGCATTGGCTTAGTGCATCCAAGACAAACTCGCACAACAAAAACCCGACGCACTCGAGAGATGTTTGCCTGCAGAATCTCAAGCCACCAGGCTGCTATCTGTGCGCCCAACGTACGAGTTACACGGCATTGCAGAGAAAGGAGACATTTTCTCTTACCACCACCGGGGTATACCAGGTTTATTATAGAGCCCTATCACCGCTGTCGTGAAGGGGATGGACACGGAAGGGGGGGGGGGGGGGTCGTTGGGCACCTGGGCGACCACCCGAGAGGATCGATGCCACTTTAGAACGCACTATTTACTATAATACAGGATTGCCCGCTCTCTCTGCTATGCAGCGTGGAGATATCCCAAGGCGAGCGGAGTGCAATGGCAAACGAACGGGCGCGTGGCTCTCGGAGAACATACGTCAGTTAAAAAGAATTGTTCACACGGGGCATCTACCAATAAACCAGCCTTAAGTTGTGTTCGTATGCCTCTGTTCGTCATAATGGGCTAATTCGCTGATTTTGTAAATGATAGCACCCGAGGAGAGACAGACAAGTGTGGCTGAGAGCGAATTAACGAGCTGCAGTACCAGTCTCGAGATAGGAAGGCAACCTACAAACTACCCTCAACATCCATGCTACAGCAAGCTGAAGGATCCCGTCATATGGGCTCATCCGAAGCGCGGAAAACAGCAGCGGCTTCTATTCGGCCTCGGCCTTGCCAATGCCTTCAGTAACGTCGTATTGTATAATATCGAGAGAAGCTATACCAGAATCACATCCTGGCCAAACGGGGCGGCATGCGAAAGATGTCCGCCCATTTGAGGTTCAGCTCTCGTCCCGGGTTGCGCCCCGTATTATCACTATTAGTTGAAGACGCCAGATTCTTCTTGCAACCTACGGCATCGCTCGCGAAGGGCACCTAAATTATGATCAATGCAAACGGCTTGGGCCGCTCAAGTTGCCTCTGGACCCTTGGCTCTTTGGGGGACCATGCAACCCGGTCTAGCACGTTTAGGGGACGTTGGAGATCCGCTAAACCAGGAAGCCTCGGGTGGGTTTACGGTAGACGTCCCGTAAATCTCTACTAAGGCCAGGCAAACGGCTTCACTCTTTTCGCGACGTTGGCTAGCTAGATCATCTTGCCGCGCTCACACCCCATGGAACGCCTACGGAGCGAAGCTCAACTATCCCCCCCCACCCCCAGCGTTTGGCGCCAACGTATAGAGCCAGCAAGTCGGGTTTAGAGGTACTGGTTCTAACAACAGGGTCCTTCGCTTGAGGAAGACTTTGCTAACTTGACGGGCTTCCAATCAACATATCCAAGCCTCCCCCAACGTGTGTTCCACGACATGCCCACAATAAAATCCAGAAGTTACATAACTACTAGTACTACGTAGGAGACCTATTGGGATTGGATATGGGACCCCCCGCGAAACCATCTTGTTGGCAAGTAGATCGCAAAGACGTGTGTTTACATACAGTATCAGAGTGCACCACCCCGTAGCACGACGGGAGCTTCCGCTCTTTACCACGCTAGGCACCACGCATTGATCTAGCCAGGTTGTCATCTCGACGGTTTGCTCCGCCTTCCCGGTTGAAGTCCTCCCTATCCGAAGAAGAAACATCATGTTTGTATTAGAAGCCAATTGGCAGTGGATGATCTCCGTTAGGTAAACAGATGTATGTAAGAAGGCTAGACACCTACGTATATGTGGATGCCCCATCATACGTGGTGCAACACACACCACGCTATTTAGCGCCGACCAGTCCTCGGGAGTTAAGGCAGCCTTAGAATTCACTACTCGCACCCAACAGACGCACTGTGAATACGTACGGGAACCTTTTGATAATTAGGGCGTGGTGGCACTTTACGGTGAACAATCACCGGTTGAAAATGCGAGACGGGGTTCCCAACGTCGGAGGCTATTATACGGCAATACGAACCCGTTCGCACCAGGAAAGGGGTCCCTGGTGTCATATTGGACGTTTCGTAGGTTATGTAGGTATCTAGTCAATTTGCCATCGGCATCGTAAGTCATGACGGTGTCCGATCAGGCCCGAGGCATGAAAAGAAGAGGGCAGGAGGAGAGAATATACAGAGACTTCACTGCCAGAATCAGACTAACTTCGTACACACACTTACGACTCTACGGGCAATTCACCTTTCTATAAGAGAAGAGGACCGTTGGCATACAGGGAAATGAGCCTGGCTCGACACTGGATCAAACGTGTGCGCCTCGACCGCAGGCTCCTGTTTGGCCGGTGGCGATCATCTATGCTGTTCTACGCCATCTGTTCCGAACTAGAGCAGAATTATGCGCATCGGCCTAGTTACGATCACTAAACCGTGGTACTCTCTTGGATACCAAGATTAGGCTAACCGCTACCTCAAATCCAAGCGTTGAAATAGGGACGGAGATCTAACGAGTACACCCGCCTCGCTAACCCTGATTGCCTCATTCGTATGAATTTGAGTACCTCGTTCATGTAAAGTACATTGGTTTTTTTCCTTTTTTTTTTCTTGGGGGTTGGGTTTGCTGTCTGTGTTGTGTAGATACGGAATGTCCAACACGATAGTAGGTATGCAATGAAAAGCTGGTGGGCCCCGCCTGACGAGTCCAAGCTGCGTGTTGCCGTAAATACCTAACCAGACTGGAGTCCGCCGCAGTGTTCGGAGGTTTGTGCGGCTACAATGGTTCGTTCCTCGTCTACTAAACGCACAGCCAGTGACCTGGCTATCACCAGATAAGCAGCCAATATCAACGTCTCGAGACGCGCCCACGGCACGCCGTATGGGGCTGTGGACATTGATTGGGCGATTGCTCAAAGCGGTGCTGCATGTCGTAGCCCAGCCGGATTCCCCACGAAGACCTATTGAGCGAGTGGACACGACGGTGGACAGCCTGCTTCCAATTACGCCTGATCCAGACGACTATTGATTCCTGGTTAGGCAATCCCGGTGATAAATGGGGATATATGACGACGAGGACACTTCACTTTTGGACGTCCCGTACATGGGATACGACAGGAACCCGGAAAGGACTGGTAGCTAACCGGACGAGATGACCGCATAGTCGATGCCACGTATGGCCGCTGTCCTGCGTCTCACCCGAACAGGACCGGGAATGGATTACACACCGGCAGGCAGCATGGGGGAGGACGGGGAAGGGAAAATATGCAAACGCAGACCGCAAATTCCTACAGGCCGCAATCAGGCAGACAGGCCGCGGAGCGCCAAGGGGAGAGGAATTGATCCCTTTAGGCGGACTTCTCTGCACCCGCAGTCGCAGTGGAAGCACAAGTGGGCACACCGACATTTAGCCTTGCATGTGGACCAGAGACGCAACCGAGATGGACCCAAACTCTCGGGCTTGAAGGATGCCGGGCATTGGATGGGAGCAGGCTCTGGCGAGTCCGTAAGCCATGGTGGGGATGATTGGATAGGGAAGACTCGGCGCCTATGAGGGCATCAGGGGGCGGGGGGGGGGGGGAGAGATTGGGAAGGTGAGGGGTCGGAGGGTTAGAAAAGGGGGGGTCTGGCTTCCGGGTTCACGTGACTGAATATGCATGCAGCGAGCCGCTCCCGCAAATTGACCCCGTCCTCACTAAATCGCTAGTCACTCAGCTAGTCACCTAGCTAGTAACGTGGCTAGTAACGCGGTATTTGCTGGCCCGAGTCGCTGTGGGCTAGGCAGCGGATGCCGCGCTCTCTCCCTGGCCTTGCCTCGATATTGCTTCTACCTACCTAGGTATATATATCCCCTACCAGCCCGCGCTCTCCAGGCCTACCTACACATACACCTGGCGTAGTGCAGCCGGGGTAACCTGCACAGGTAGCACCTAGGTCTTAGTCAGGTACCTACGCCTATAGGTACCTAGGTAGGTAGGGGCCTACCTTAGATTAGGTACCTAGCGTAACCTCCCTCTCCGCCGGCAACATGGAGATACCTTACCTAGGTACCTAAACATATCTAGTAGGAACCTTCTATGGTAAGTAGGTACCTCCTACCATTTCTATATATTTCTATATTACCTTAGGTACTCCTCCTAAAGGTACGTACTAATGTATAGATATACATGATGAATCCTTTCTTTCTCGCCGGCAACCTCCTCCTCATCATCATCCTCCTCCTCTTCCTTGCTCCGATGTGCTGTTTGCTCGTATGTTTTCCCATATTTGGCCTTATTCCAACGCTTCAATTTGGTCAGCTTCCGGCCCGGCATCTTCGCCTGCCCAGTTCAGCAAGTCTGGCGAGACGTCGTGTTGCACAGGAGACGTCTAGTAAATTAGCTACCAATGAAGATTACTACAAGTTTTCTCGTAGCCATCACTACGACGATATACGGTACTTTTGTTTTGCCTTTTATTGCTTTGTGCTCTTCCCGTCATGCTACGCCCGTCGTTAGCTTCCTCTTACGCGGAAACGCCTCTTTCCGCTGCGAGGGCTGGGGAGCCAAGGGAGGAAGAGGGAGGGGGAGGGAGGGAGAGGGGTGAAAGGGTGAGGGGGGAGGGGTTGAATTGTCAGCAAGGAGTTTACTCCGACGAGCGACATCCGGAACGAGGGTCAGCAACGGCCCTAGCAGGACGTAGAGCAAGGTACTTCCCTGTACCGAGACACGGCGCACCGAGCGTCGGATGGGGGCCGCTTAGACACTATCGCCAACTAACCCAGGCCTGCTGCTACGTTATATCCGGTACGTGCGATGGCGTCCGCCCGGTATTTTTTTACGAGGCACGCGAGCTGCTCCGTACGTAACGACGGGGTAGACGGAGTCAGTTGACACGACCTCGCTTACCGAACTAACAGCACCGGTGCTAACCTGAACGGCGGTCGAGTAGGCGGTCGAACCGGTGTGACCGGCTGGCACGGGTATAGCCGCCAGCTCCTCGGCGGATTGTCACAAGAGCCCAAAGGGAACTGTCTAACACGACACTACCCAATAAAGCAGGGAAGATTGTAGATAATCTGTCGATACGTATGCTGTCATGCCGGTCCTCGTGTCAGCTTCCGAGCTGCTGGCGAAATTGGATGGCTCGCCACCCCACTACGCACTTTGTTGTTACGTCGAGTTGCGTCGACGTAACTGCAAATGGCCTACCGCTACTACATATTACGGGCATACAACATATGATACCGTCCCTAGCGCCAGGTAGCTTGGCCTCGCTACCTACATACCTCATATAGGTATGTATATATACGTACCTAGCTGTGTAAGGTAGTCTGCTGGCGTAGCGGCCGGGGTTTCATTGCTATCTACCTACCTGGGTATGTAGGTAGGTATGTGCTACGTAGGGAACAGGGGGGGAAAGGGGCTGGGGACGCATGTCATGGCTACTACATTCGTATAACGAGCTTCTAGGATCGCAGTTCTAGACTATCGATCAACGAAACACGATGAAACCAGGTCCCAGCGAGCGTCGCATCAACCTGCGTTTTCATCAGAAGAAAGGGGTCGATGGGGATCGGCCCTAGGCTTACGGGCACGGCACTTCGACGTCGCCATCTAGCGATTCAAGCAACAGACAATTTACCTGCCTCGTAGCATTGTCTGGCTTAGTTAGGTCCATGTTGGCCCATGGTCCGGCCTTGGAAAAGAACTAAGAGGCGAGAAGGATTCTCTTGGGGTGCCACGATAGGTGTGAAGTCGAAGTGTGTAAGAGTATTCTTCTACCATCACCCCGATAGCAGTCACGGACAAGTTATGTATCATGTCTATCTGTCTCCTCCCAGAGTTGACCGTCCTCAGCATATGTACACCGCACATACTCATATACCTGTGCTATGCAACTGTGCTTTTTGCGCGTTGCGTTGCAGAGCTAACATCCAGGCGACTTGGCAACCCACTTTAGCATGCCGGCTCTATCCTTCGCGGCGAGCTCTCGAATCTTGGGGCCGTTCCAGGAAGACACTACCGGTACGATAATTACCATGTGCAAGGCAGAGCTTGCGTGGCTGCGGCCGCCTTTTCGAATGGAACTTTGGACCATGCACATACACATAGGAGAAGCCGGGGTTGGTTTCTGAACACGCCACCGAGCAATGTGGGCGCGGGTGTACATATAGTACTTGTTCCGTAGGACTCGCGTGGTGTTCTAGTATTATGTATATGATCCCTCTTAGGCCGGGCGTGTGTTTCCGTGAAGGCCGAGCCCCATTCCGGCACCGTGGGGTAAACTCTCTACATTTATACCTACTACGTCCCCCTAGCTACCGCTGATGGGCAAGATAACAGAAGTTAAGCGAACAAGTCGAGCGAAGCCGATAGCAGGCGCATCTGGCTCTGGGGCGATCCTGGGGCGATCCACAGCTTCAGCAGTGCCGCCGCTGCTTGCGCCTCCCGCTCTGCCAACTGATAGGCATATCAACCCGTAGCCTTCGGCGAATGAGGCGGTAAGGCATGCTCCAAAAGCCCACCCCCCACTCCCCCCCCGTATTATGTGCTACTCCTAGTGCAATTATCTACCCAAATACGTAGACTAAGGAGGCTGCGGAGCGAGGAAGAAGGAGAGTCGTGCGCATGGGCGCCTACAGGTCGCCGTTGGCCGTATCTACTTACGGCTTCGGACGGCCCAGGGCACCACCACGCACCACCACACACTTCTACCATCATCAGGTCAGCACTACCAGGCATGGTGGCTAATAATAACGATCATGAAGTTGATAACAGGAACAGTACTAAACCGATCCTACGCCACGACGTGGAGAAGCGGCGGTGAGATTTGAGCCCGAATATGGGATGGTCTTCCACTTGACCTGCCCACCATGCCTTTTTCATCGATGCTAGGTACGTGCCAGAGACCATAAGTAGGAAATACCTAGGCAGATGCCGTGCCAGGTACGCCTCTGGGCATGCAACATACGGACATCACATCGGCGTACCCTCGTCTCGTCGAGAAGCGTCCCTACGTTAGCTACGATTCCCTACGTTGCCAAGATTATATTGCGTAGTATTACCCTATACATTGCAATTAACTGATGGTCCCAAACGCCCGATCCCGTTGGCATTTTCTTCCGCTGCCGTCTGGCTCACCTAGACACACACCTGCCTCCCTCCTAGGCCCTAAATACCTGAGGCACCTAAACTCGTAGTGTCTTGCGACTCTGAGTATCGAATATGTACCTGCGGACGTACGCAACTGAACAATTATGAGGCAGCACATACCCCCTACCATCATATACCTAGGTAGGTACCTAGGTAGGTAAGAGGTAGGTAGGTAGGTACCTAGGTAGGTAGGCATGCCGCATGCCTATATTAGGGGGTAAGCACCTGAAGCAGCTAAGTGGCAGGAGGAGGTAGATACCTTATAGTAAAGGCACCTAAGGTAAGCGCCCATACCGGCATGGTGGCTGCCCACCAAAGCTAGGTACGCAATAGGGGGGATGCTAAGGTACCTACCTGCCTGTAGGGACAGCTGGCAATACATACTTACGTAGGAGGCAGCGTTAGGAGACAGGTAGGACACATCGCTGGTAATAGGTACCTAACCTACCTAAGACAAGATTTCCACAGATACTGAGCCCAAACCATCTTAGGCGCCTTGGGGCAGGTAGGCACCCTTACCTATATGTAAGTAAGTATACATTGCGCCCAAGGGAGCGTGCTATAGGTGTGGTCCTACGTGTGCGCCTCACAATACCGAATGAGACGGGTGAACAAATCCCGCTGTTGCAATGGCTACCTCGTAGGTAGGTTATGTACCTACATCTACGCGAACGGCACCCCGACACCAGCTATGTCAGGTACCAGCGTGGTGTGGTCAAGTCAAAAGCTGTAGGTACCTACCTACCTACCTACGTAGGTACCTAAGGTAGAGGTAGAGGGAGGTACGTAGTAGGTAGGCAGGTAATATGAATTTGCATACCGCGGCGGATTCGTCTAACGAAGGCCTGTCGAGAGGGAAGTCGCGGTCGTTGCGTAGATTGCGTAGATGGATCAATTGATGAATCAATCAATCGGTGCCAGCCAGCAGCCCATCGTTTCTACCCATCATCCATCCGTCTGTCTGTCGTCCCTCTTCGAGCCGTCTCACGAACCTCGCCCGGGTCGGTGCGTCGACGGGGGAATCCCGCGTGAAGGAGGGCCTCCTTGTCCGCTAAACACCCTCGTCCGTCTCGAGCGTTCCTACGTGTTTCTACGCAGGTTCCTACGTTAGGCTTCGCCGAGCGCCCATATCATGCGTCGAGATCCCTTGCTGCTAGGCGGCAAGAATTCCTACGACTGGCTCCCAACAACCCGACGTCGTTGGAACTATTGCCCAGGTTCCCAGTGATATAACGAGACATATCCTGAGTACCTACATAGGTAGGTGTGCGCTCGCACCTACGGTACACATACAGATACATGCATTGCTAACCAACCCTCGTGCATTTTACCCGGCATGCAGGCTGACAATCTGCGGAGACCCAGCCCGCGCGCCAGCGCCAGCGAGCCACGACGGGCTTTGCTGGTCGATGCCCAATCCCCAATCCAATGCACGACGAGAAAATGACGGCAGAGCCTACTACGTCTTACCTCTGTTGCCGCGCCTGTTGTCGCCGTCGTGGGGCACGACAGCCAGGTACTGTGCCGTGCCTGGCCTTTCGGCCGTTGCCCGTCTCACTGCAGTCGATGCTATCACAAGAAATTGGGGCGCATGGCAAGTCAAGACGAGCCGATGGCATCCATGCCAACCTGCCTCAGCCACCCCACCCTCATCCTGGCCTCCCTTCCGTTTTCTTCACCTTGCAGACGCCCGTGACGCCGTCCATGCTGGGCCTTGGCCCAAACTACAAACCACATCGCACCGCTCGCTCGCTCTCCCCCTTCCAACACACCCCCCTGCTGCTGGGTTGCTCCCAGGCCGACCCAGACTCGTGTCTGCTTCGGGTGTGGTGCATGCGTGCTATGGGAGGCGTAAGAGCCCACCTACGCAGTACCACAGTCCAGCAGCAAGCTCTACATATGCACTTCCTCTTGTGACTGCGGTCCGCTGCGAAGCTTGCAGATCCTACCGCCGGGTTAGCAGCAGTTTTACACGTCTGCGGTGAACCCCCCCTTCCTTGTCGTCTGGCTTGACCACCAGATGCTCATCCCCTTCTCGCTTCACTCCACCCCTCCACATCACGGCTCGCCCAGGAAATCTATTGACGTAGCTGGGCATTTCAATTCATGAGTCATCACACAATAAATTTATGCAGACGGGATGAATGAGGCAAGCGGACCGCGTACGGTAGCACGAAATCCTACCTGTGAAACCCTCCCAAAAGAAAAAAAAACCGCCAATGCACCTGCGGGAGGCACTGTCCGAAGCGCGTCCGCAGGGGGCGGTTACATAGAGAATACATACGGGCCACAGATCCAATTCACATCCATGCAAGGCATAGGGTTACAGCTTAACTTACGACTTGCAAGGGAGGAGGGGAAGGGGGGAACGCCAAGGGGGAGGGGGCCGGCGTCAACTCCACGATTAACATGGCCTATCGGCTCCAGTTTTCATCGCTTGTCGTGGTTACAGTGATCGAGCCCGTCGTTACGTGCCGTGGACCGTGGTATCCGTCCCGCTGCACAGTTGCCTCCCGTCCTGAAGTATACCTACCTAGAACAGAAGGTGAATACCCGATAGCAAGGCGGTGAGCGTCGAAAATGGCATCGTCAGTCCCGAAAAATACCAGTTCGGAAGGCACAGGTATACGGCCTTTATCTATTTCGGAGACGGCTCGCTCGGTTCCGGGCACACCCTGGGGTGGCCCTAGATCGCCACGAGCCGTCGGCGGACGAGCGCCCTAAGTCGCCGACTAAATGTGGCCGCAATGTCGACGACAAGTAGGCGAGAAGTTGGCGATATCTCACCAGAGCGTAGTATTTGAGGAGCAAACCGAGCTGTCGAATTCTGGATCGAGAAAAGAGGCGGTACCAGCACAGAGTCCTGATATCGCAAGATACTCCCGAAAGACGAGACGAGACGAGACGAGACGCGAACACAGGTGAAAACACCAAACGAAACCACAGGCCTAGGCGATCCCGCATACTGAATCATGGCCGAGAATACCACAGAGATCAATCGGTCATTCTTCAAGTACGTCGAAGCCCCCCTCGTCCCCTCACCCCATTCGCCAAACTGGAAGTATTGCTTTTCCTGTTCCGGCATGCATAGCACGGCAAAACCCATCCCAATCCTTCTCGAAAGGTTAGCGATCGCTCCGGCGCCGTGCTGGCTTTTCGGGAGGGCCGCTGCCCACAATCTCGATTACCTGAGAAGGCAACAATGTACCATGTACCTGTCTATTTATATCGATCTACATTCTGAAGCCTGGGTCCTGCGCGGATGGGGATATCGGGAAGAGGTTCTCGGGGGGAAAGGGGGGGGGGGGGGAGGTGGGACCCAAGTCGATGTCTCACTGCACCCTTCGCCGCTATACCCGGTCGAGCAGCCACCAGTATAGCCTCGTATAGTCCACATCCTACCCAGTCTCCAGGCCGATCTGGGAGATCGATTCGGGCGTGGCACAACTTGACAGGTCACAAAACGGCACAAACAATGTGGGACTGGAGCTAAACAGGACGTGTGCATAGTGACGAGGCGTCAACGTACGACTCCAAGCACGGCAAACTTCTCGAACGCCTCATCCAGGAACTCCAAGCTCGACGGGATTGGATCGGCGTCGATTGGGCGGACGGCGATGACAGCGCCGAAGAAGATGACGAGCACCTGGACGACATTCAGTCAAAATCAACGGAAGCGAAGAAGGAAGTGAGGTTGCTAGACTACGCGTGTGGAACTGGCATGATCTCGAGGGTAAGCAGCGCACCTTACCACAGGGCGCCTCTCTCTTGATGTTTCCGTCGCGGGCCTCGTCTCATTGCTACTTATAGGCGCTGGCTCCTTACACGACGCAATGCATCGGTATCGATGTATCAGAGAACATGGTCGCGGCATACAACTCGCGTGCCGAGAACCAGGTGAGTTACCGGATGGCCTGCAGTATTCTTCTGACCACTCCCAAGGGTAGTCGGCGGTGAAATCCGGCCGACGCCGCATTCGTGGTGCCCTACCCGAGGATCAAAACTAACGAAAATCGCCAGGGCCTTTCGCAACAGGAGATGCACGCCGTCATAGGTGACCTCTTAACGCCGCAGCCGACGGGCAATCTGTCGGAACCAGACTTTTTTGGGTTCGACTTGGCAGCTGTTGGGGGCGGCTTTCATCACTTCGCGGACCCGGAGCAAGCCTCCGTGAGACTAGTAAAACGCCTGCGACCTGGCGGCGTCCTCCTAATCTGGGACTTCCTGCCGCACGGACCCCGGAGCGGGAACGACGCCGCCCACTACGGTGTCATGCACCACGGTCTTTCCGAGGAGAGGGTCCGTAACATGTTCGAGCAAGCCGGTGCCGGGACCGGCTTCGCGCTCGAGGTTATCGGCACCCACACCCTTCCCAATAGCCATCAGCATGGCCAGCGTGGCCACGCGCACGGCGGCGAGGACCACGCAGGCCCCGCGGCGAGACACATATTCTTCGCTAGAGGCCAGAAGGCAGCGTGAGCTCGTGATCTTCCCCCAAGACGGAAGAAGGCTAATGGGTAGATGGAGCGAGGATATGGGGATGTCTACGGAGAATATGTATGTAGGTGATATGCAGACGTCAACCCATGGAAATTCGTGTGCGATCTGGAATATAACATCGTTTGCATTATGACCTCGGGGTTATCCGTACCTAGTCGTAGCCAACGCACACTCGGGGACGCCGATCCCGTCTCGATGAGTAAAGCAGGCTTCGGTGATGTGGCGTCTGTAAAGTTTGCAGATCGGAGGTAGTATTCGGTCTGAGTTGCACACACGTAGGAGACTGTAGTTAGCGATGAACGCTTTGTTTCCCGCGAGGGCATAAGTCGACGCCAACTGTGCCCCTCAGACTGCTCGTGCGGGTTACGTGTGGAAACCGACGGCTGATAGTGTAGAGAGGGGACTATACCGACCTTCGTGTAGTCAAACAAGACGAGATTTAGGTGAGGTGTGACCCAGGCGTGAGAAGGGAGCATGGGTACCACCGTAGGTCGAAGGCACCGTAGGAGGAAAAGGTAGGCAAATTACAGACTTCCCGGACAGCGGCGCGTCGGCTTGGTCGACAGCGTTACGCTAGTAGTAAGTGGGTAGCAATATCGTTGCTCCGATTCTTGCGCTGCAGAGGATGGCCTTGATCGTCGGATGAGTCTACAGGGCCAGATGATGCATGCGTGGAGGAACGGACAGCTACTCACTTCGTCTATTAGCTCACTCCCCTCCTACGCGTCCTTGCTAATAAATTGCTCTACATCTTTTCGGCTCCGGCGTACCCTAATGAGGGAGGATGGGATGGGATGGGATGGGTGTGATTAGGTAGGTCGGATGAACTCGCACACAGCCCTCCCCCCACCCCCCTTTTCTTCTCATATGGGAAATTATCTCACCTTTTTTGTGGGAGGGGAGGGCGACAAGCGAGATGCGGGCAATGGAGAGAAGCACGGAGCTATTTCGGTCTCAGAGTTACCCAGAGATTGTCTGTGTATTTGTGATGTTCGTCTCATTAGACATCACCAAAATCGGTGAACCAGATTCGACATAAATCTGTGTTTTACGGAACTCCTTAAGCTTGCTGTTCTATTATCCGTACGATTCTCTTTTTTTCATCACAGCGGTTTCGGCGAGCTCGACTACCTACCGAGGCTGCGATACAAAACGAAAAGATGCCAGCCTCACGGGGTGGAGGGCGGTTTCGGAGGGATAAGGATACGAGGCAAAATACCTGTCCAGACACGGCAATCCGGACGATCAACACCAACTGAGGCTACGTAATACCGCCTCGCCGCTTTTGCTCAGGCCCGCTTGAGCGTTAGTCACCTTACCCTAAGCATTGACACCACTGTGCCGCCGTACTACCTGAATAGCTTCAATTGTAACTGAGGGTCCTTAGAATGTCCCCCTGGTACATAAGGCGGCCGCAAAAGACTCCCCGATGAAGATAACCAACATCTCATAACCCAGCCTCAGCCCTGCGCCGTCATTTTCCTGTTTCTTTCTTTTTGCCTCTTTTAAAGCTTGGTAGGGCATCTCTCGCCCACATACATCTACGACTGTTTTGTTATCAGTTTATACACATTTATCCTCCCTATTTACGACTAGTTCATGAACACAATTCCTTGAAGAATTGTCATTCTATTCATTTTCATGCTCCCTACATCCGTTCTCAATATATATATTTAAACGTAGATCAATACGAAGCTATCGTCGTCATATGGATATGGAGTGATCGAGGCAGCATTTTGTCACAGCTTGCCGCGACAGGTTGCGACTCGAGGACATACCGTGACCTGCGGAGCCAAATTGCCCGTAACCAGGGGGCGGTGGACATGGGAAGTCGTAACATTAATAAAGGGAATAAAAAAGGGCTAAAATCGGGATTCATAAAAAGGGGGTTAACGAACGAAGGACGGAGGGAAGAAAGAACGGGGAACCGACCCCGAAGGAGGGCCCTAGCATGCTCATCATTGTAAACGGCCGGCTTTCTTCCGCTCTGCTTAATGTCTGGTGTTGGTCTCGCTGCCGAATCTAAGGATTGGTTCGCGAAGTCGATGTTCACATCACCAAAAGGTCCACGACTCCACGTGGCGGTTATGCTCTCCCGTCCGCCCGAACAATAGCCAACGAACAGATCACCCCGCAAGGCATATCTAGGGCAGACAGTCCCATACAAGGCCTGGAAACACTGAAGACTGGCCCCGTGGGAGATTCACGGCAGGCCGTCTGTCTGTCGAGGAATACAGAAGAATAATGCCCAGAGAAGCAGCTGCGATATTGATACCACTGCGGGACCATGAGAAAGGACTGCCCTTACCTCTGCGTCGGTGATCTGATAGAATAACACGCTATAAATCAACTATTACACCAGCGAATTTGTAGCGCAGAGATCCCGTGGGCCCGGGACGGAACTCCTGCTTCACCAGGGCCGAGATTCCGATCCCGTGCCGCTTTCACGAGAGGGCAAGGTATCCGACGGAGAGAGCCCGCTGTCTGCACCTTTGCCTCCTTGCCCTTCGCCCCGTGTCGTGGGATCCACGGTGGCAGGCGACAAGCCTGGCCGGCTGTCCGCCAGTCCGCGGCGACGTGCCTAGACTTGAGACACGCCCAAGGCCGTTCACGTTCCCGCGATGGCGGTAGGATCTTGGCTGCATCTTCCGGATTATTACGCGGTGGATCTGCGGCAGCAAGTTAGCAAGTCAACTCGAAGCAAAGGGGCAGGGGCGATGGCGGTGGCATACACGGCAGCTAAGGCTGGAGACTCTTTCTTTATCGGCCTGAGAAGGTCGGGCTAGAACGTATCGAGGAGGACGTCGAGCTCAGGGTCCTCCAGGATGTAGGGGGGTTGCTCGTGCGACCGCATTCAACTCGTGGCTGGCGAGACCACCGGAAAGGCCAGCAAATTTTGGGATGCCTAGGTCATATTACAGGTTTTTTTTGGGGATGGAGCGGTGAGATGCCGTTCGCGCTCCAACTTCCACCGTCGACCAATCCGTCGATAGTTGTCGGATGATGGCTAAGAAAACAACCTGCACGGTCAGCGTAGTTGAGGACGATGCTGTTGTAACAAGTCGGCAACATGTGCAAGTCGAGAAAGCGTCTCGCCACAAGCTATTAGAATAGGAGACTTATCACAAAGCACGGGGTCGCAAATCAACGAAATCTACGGTTTGGCACAAGGCACATCGGCAGAGAACCAGCCACAGCTAACTCTGATCCGGGTTTGGTCATGGCACCCGCTCGGCACCTTAAAGGTATAGGGAAGGACAACGATCCCACCCGATAATCGGCCAAGACCCCTTAACGTGTGTCCGACATGGGGTGACGCAAGCAGCTATTCTCACTTGGCCTGAGTCTGAAGTCCGGTACTTGGCAAGGCGAATAGCCTGGCTGGCCTAGACAGACAGCGCGGTTCCAGCTCTTAACCGTGGCCCATAGTGTGCTTGCCTCCTGCTCCAGGCAGACGGAGGGCATCTCCATTACATGTGGGATGCTGTCTTCTTCCGGTGTGATCCTTCCACTTGACGAGTCGAGCTGCATGGCCCCTGGTGGCCTGGCCCTGGGGTATTTCGCTCGCTGGTGACATGATAGGGTTTCCCCTACCAGACACTCCTCCACACTCCATCTTTCCTTTTCCGAATATGGCTTTCTTCGCTCGGCGAGCACATGTTCCATGACATCCGACGGCTTCCGATCCGCCTGCAGAACTGCCTACCTAGCCAGCAGCCAATCCACAAGATATGGCCGATCAACCCGCCGTCGAACAGGCGCCACCACTCGCCGAAGTCGACCCTAGACCCCGAGCAAGACGACGACGCTGACTCCGCGCTCGGCGAAGATGTCCCGTCGTCCGCTGCGCCCTTGACCGGACAGAAAGCATCCCGCAGTACCGCACTCTGCAGGGCCCGAACCTACAAGAGTTCCGAGACGACTGATTACCGGGCTCCTAGCGACGAGCAGCAGAGCGAAGGCCTTGGCATCTTAGAGGTACATACTAGAAGGTATAGCGGTGTGGCAATATCCTCTACTTGTCCAGTATCGTAAGCGTTCTCTGGTTTTCTGTCGTGGGTGCTAAGCTTCCTTGGATTTTGCGACTATCTCGGCCTTTTGACAGTGCTTGATAATCCAGGGGTGTTTCTGGACCTGCTCGAGAGATAGTCTCTTGTCGGGGTCGATGACGAGTAGCTTGAGCCATGTTAATCTTCTGCCCGACAGCTGACAAGGGGCCAAATGCACACTCACTTTCTTAATAAGATCCGTGGCCTCCGCACTCACAAACGACGGGACCTTCATATCCCCGCGAGCGATTCTCCTGGTCGTCATAACGGGCGTGTCTTCAAACGGCGCCTCGCCCACCAGGAATTCGTAGGTCAACACACCCAAGGACCACAGGTCCACCTTCTCGTCGTAGGAGTTGTCCGCGTTGCGCGGCGCGATCATCTCCGGCGGCAGGTAGTCGAGCGTCCCGCAGTAAGTCTTCCGGCGGCAGTTGGGGGCGTGCACGCTCCAGCCGAAATCCGAGATCTTGATCTCGTTATGGATGCCCACCAGGATGTTCTCGGGCTTAATATCGCGATGGATGACGTGCTTACGGTGCAGGTAGCGCAACGCGCTGGCCATCTGCGCGATGTACTGTGCCGCCTTCCACTCGGGAAATCGCGTGTCCTTACGTAGGTGCTTGTATAGCTCGCCCCGGCCGGCAAACTCCAGGATGAGGAAGATCCGCTTGCTGTCGTGGAAGTAGCCGTAGAGCTTCAGGATGTTGGGGTGCCGTAGGTTGCTTTGGATCTCGATCTCTCGCTGTACCTGCTTCTCGACGCGGCCCTGCTGCAGCTCGCTCTTGTACAGGACCTTCAGCGCGCAGACGAAGCCGTACTCGCGCTCGCGCGCCAGGTACACGCGGCCGAACTTGCCCTTGCCTAGTGGTTTACCGATCTCGAACATGCCCAAGTGGAATGCTTTGATCGGCCGCTCGATGAGGGTCGCTGTTTTGCCCTCTGCCTGGGCTTGAGATTCTTGATTCGATTTCTCTGCATTAGGGAGAGCTTTCTGAGTTGGCGACGCTGGTAGTTCTACTTCGCGCCGCGCCGTCGCGGATGTCTTTTGCTCCCGGTTTTGGAGGGCAATTTTGAGGAGGGTTGGCTGGCCCGGGTCTTGCGAGCGTGTTGTCGAGATGGCTTTGACCTATTTTTAGAATTAGCTCCGTCGAGAGAGATCGAGGAGATGGCGTGAAGCGGGTGGGTACCTTTGGCTTCTGCTGCTCTCTGTTCTCGTCGCGAACCGATAGGCGCCCGAAGCGATCCTCGAGGGTGCTAGCCGCCATTGTTTATGTTACCTAGGAGGAAAGGGAGCGAACAAAGTTCCCTTAATGGTTGGATGATGCCGAAAGAAATCACCAATGTGATGCGTTGTGTGGTGATTTAGCAAGGACCAGAGTCTGCTGAAGTTGGATTTTGTTTTTTTGTGGTGGGACAGGCGTTGCGCGGCAACCCTGTGCTTGGCACTAGCCCTGTTTCGTGTCCCGAAAAGCTCTAACGGGCCTTGCTTTGGTGGGATTGGACCTTCGACCAACAGCTGACCGCGTCGAAGTACGCCGCGTTAATAGCAGCGCCGTGTCCATTAAAGTATGCACTACCTAGACGGATAAGAAACACCTAGCCGAATACGAAAGCCGACCTCTCCATCCTGCGGCCGCTCGGGGAAGTTTCACGACAGGCGCAAGATGAGTTCCTCATCGGCATCCTACGAGGCGTATGCTGTAACCGCGTCGCTATCTGGGAGACAAGAGGGCTAAACAGATACCCGCCCAGCCGCGGCCGCCAACAATAGTCACTCTGATGTAAGACGGGATGCAGTGAGGGGATCCACCCCATGCAGCTGACAAACGCGAAAATAACGCCTTTCGGCCTACCTACTCAGACGGCGGACAAGCAGCGGCGCAAGAGCAACAAGAGCCGGGCTCTCGGAGAGCCTGCTGGCCCTACGAGTAGAGAAAGCCGCGGAAACGCCTCGCGGCGTCGACGGCAACTATGAGAGGGCTCCTCGCCGGGGATTGCTTAGGCTGGGCGTGCCGCGTAGGTCCTAAGCAAGGGGCCGGCGCGTTTTCCTTCGCCCGCTATATAAGAACGGGTCCCCGCCGCGACGAGCGCAGACGGTCCCCTACGCGGCGGCGGGATGGGTAACGGCGCTGGACGCGAGAGGGTGGGATGGCGGATCCGCAGGTCCAAAGCCCCGTGCGGCGTAGCCCGTGGTCGACGGGAAGGGGTCTGTCTGGGTTAGGTGGTTGTCTCCGAACGAATACGTAGGCAGATAGTGAAGAGGAACAGCGTGGGCACGCTGTAAGGGGAGACGGATAGGAGCTGCCACAGCTGCCAACAGCTGGCCCAGATGCCGAACCGCAGCATGAACAGCTGCTCACAGCTGTATCTATGATCGGCCAGCTATAGAGGGCAGCTAGGAGAGACGAGAAAAATAAGGTCTTAGTAAGGCATGGCGAGGGATGGCGAAAAACGGGTGGTGCATTCAACCCATATGACGGTCCGAAAGTGAATAATACAGGTTCAAGTCTGGATGGTGAAAATATGAGACCCATATAAATACTCATCCGAATCCCTACAAGGACTAGTCCCACCGCACCACTACAACACCTACCTTCCTTCTCTCTATCTACGCAGCCCAGCCGGGTCAGCGACAGGGGCAGCTATCCAGACAGGCCGCGCCGGCGCACCTAGGCCTTCTCGCGATTCGCCTTTGGCTTCGGGGTGGCCTGTCGTAGGTATGCCTGCCTGCCTGCCTGCCCAGCGCCCCTCGTTTGTGCCGTCCATCCTGCCCTGCTACGTAGCGATGGGACTTTCCCCTCCTCCCGCAGGATCCTCTGCCGCCCACCTGTCTACCGGTACGCCTCCCACCTCTTGGCGTGCGTGAGTGCCCCCCCTCGTAGGCAGGCGGCCAGGCAGGTATGTAGGTATGTAGATATGCAGACGCCCCCCCTGAAAGGAGGGCGAACTCAGGTAAAATAGTGCGAACCTCTCCCCTAGATTGCTAAAGACAACTAACGGTAAGCTAACGTGCCCGTCCACGAGAGCTTGGTTCATCCCGTTAACCCCCCAGTTGAGGAGCGTGCCTCCGAGGGTCCCCCGTTCCTCGTCCGGAGCTGAGCAATACAACTCCCACGCGCGCCTGAATAGTTGGCGTGGCGCTTCCTCCGTGCTCGGACTGCGTCTGTAAGTCCTGGTGCTGACGCGGTTCTCTTTGAACACGGTGGGGAGGGATTGTCGTTCCGTAACGAAGGACGAAGGGGAGATTTCCGGACTCTCGAGACCGTTGTCTATGAGAAACCTCTGCCCTCTTGTGGTTCGGGCCGCTGGTATAAGCGCTGGCTCGTCTCTACCTTCCTCCGTCAGCTCGGGCAACTTGCCAGCTAGGATCGTCACTACCGGCCCGGGACACAAGGTCAACAGGGCGGACGATACGCCCGCTACGTACCTAGGTAGGGTTAATGATTAGGGTCTGTGGTGGGGCGGGCGCCGGTACCGTAGCGATCGAGTCTCGCCAGCACCGCCCGGGACTGGCAATAGTGAGAAGGAACAGTGCGTACGCGCTGTTGGAGGAACCCGTAACAGTGAACAGGAAACGCCTTCTAGTTGCAACTACAGTACGAGCGAAGTAGCACCATTTTAGTATTAACACGTCTCAGGTCGACGACGACTCAGGGTTTCCCGTTTCTCCACGCAACGAAAGCTAGGCTTGAACATAGTGATTCCTTTCCGAGGGGAACATCTTCGACGACACCCATCCACTTTGAGGGGTCAAGGATGCCATCCATTGCTTCGTGATTTCGCCGTGACATGTAGTATGGTTTCTGTCGAAGGTCAGAGAGATCAACGCCCTCCTTAAAATTAATTGGCATCTTAACACCGTCATTGCGAAGCTCGTACATGGCCGAGGAGAAGGAATCCCATCGATCCGAAGGTGAGGAATCTGATGGTGCAATTATATCTTAAGCCTAGCTTATAGTCGTAGAGTTGTGGTAGTAGTTAGCCCGAAGGTAAAAGGGGTATAAATGGAATGAAGGCTGAATATAAAAGTTACCTATTCGGCCATTACGGCACGAGCAAGAGACTCAAGCGCTCGTAATCTGAATAGATGCATTGATTAGAGGACAACGAATCTAATGGTATCAATGAGCCCCCAAATTCAAGGCAAGATAAAGGTAATAATAAATGGTTGGGGTGAAGGTAACGGCATAGCCCGTATCTTTAGAGGCTGTGTGAGCATGCGCATATGATGGTTCTCTGACTCTTTAGGTGCTGTGGTTACTTTAAATGGGCATATGGGTTATCTTGGCGCGGTTACGCGATCCTCCAAGGGGGAGACGTCTCTCCGTACCACTACAATAGTCGAATGTGACTTTGTGGAGGAGCCGCGGGAGGCGTAGACCGTTAAGGGTTCCGGTTTAATCGCATGCGGGGGCTAACGTCGGGCATCAGGGCCTGGCCACGAAGCGTCGAGCTCGCTTCAGGAACGGGCACTCGAAGAACTCCAAGGTGCAGTCCTCGGTCAGGGGGATGCTCTTTGCGGATAGAAATCCGTACTTGTTGTTTAGCAAGCGTCGGTGTCTTGTATACATCTGCTATGCGAGCAGAGATCTCATCCAATCCTCGGGCGAATGGCCGAGGTAGACTATCGACCCGACCTCGGCGTAGCCGGGAACACCATCACAGAACCTCTCGGGGTCGGCGCGTATTAGTTGCATGCGAGCGCCTAGCAAAGTAAGTAGCTTCGTATCCCCTGGCGCGTTAACCGGAACTACGCCGGACTGTACCTCGACGACGGCGTCGTTGCTCTGGCCGTCGCTCAAAGACGATAGAGCTGCTATGATGGGCTTCGTCTGGGGCATGTACCAGCGACCTGGAGTTACGGGCCTCCATATCCGACTTGAAAAACTTGTACCTACGTGGCCTCGAACGAATCTATCGCTACACGTGGGGACCAAATCGGTAAGGCTCTGAAACCAGCCTGGGAGGTCCAAATTGTTCTCCGCGATGACGGAGAGGAGAAACGCGCGGAGCTGTGGCGACGACTAGGTAGGTAAGACAGTGCCTACCTAATCCAGTTGTTGGCGCGCACGTCTTTAGCACCTACGCAGATACGCGCCGCGGCTGGTCCGCTTCCTGTGGTCCTATGATACCAGTTACCTAGTAGCAACTAGTATGAGAATCTTAGGATGCTGAACCTGATGAACCGTTGATCTATTAGAAGGTAGGTTAGTTCTAAGGCAGGCCAATACCTAACTAGAAGCCTACCGCGAACTGAAGAGCTTATTTATATGTGTAGTTTACGGATCGGATCAATGATAATCCGTGACCCCCATAGATACCTAGGTACCTTGAGTGCTGCCTAAAGGTTTAGGTACCTTCCTACCATACATGGAGGGGGCCCATGGATAGTATTGTGGCTGCAATCGTTTCTATGGTTTGACAAGATGCCCGCATGGGCATTGCAGCGAATCAAACGCCAGCCCGACATAGGTACCTAATTACCGTCCGGATATCTCGATACCATCGCAGACATCCCCTCCCCGTATGGTACCTACCTCTAAGCGGCGCTCAAGCCAAGGACGGGAGGTGCCGTTCTAGAGGGGCACAGAGGGTCCCGATCCATCTCGGGCGGAGGGGTCGAAAGTCCCAATATTCCCGCCGTAGGTGGGGAGGAGGGGAGCTAGACGCTGGCGGGCGGGCGGGCGGGCGCCGCCGCGATGCGAAGGCGCGGAAAACAACAACAGACGGGAAAGGCGAGCTCCGGAATCAACCGTGCCTGGAGAAGGGCACGCCAGCTCCCTATGGACGTACCTAGGTAGGTAGGAGGTACGTCTTGTCCCTACCTATACCTATGCGTAGTACCCCTTGCCCGCTCGCTAGCCTGGCCACTGCTAACCAGCTAGTACCGCAGTTGGGGGCACAGCTAAGTTTAGGCGCGAGCGGGATTGTCCTTCTCCCTTGTTTCCTCCTCTTCTTGTTTCTTTCTTGTTTGTATTCATCTTCATCTTCATCGTTTTCTCTTTCCTTACGTAGGAAGACCCGGGAGCGAGGGCGGAGGGGGGCGGGCGGACACCCATAGCCCGCACACATGGGTGTGAGTACAGGCCGCAAACAACGTCGCTGGGCGGACCGCCTGTTCCGCTCGACCCGCCAGGAGGGAACCTCTCTGGCTCGTCGCATGCGCCCCTCCCCCCACTTTCCGCGTTCTGGGCCAATCGTGTCCTGCGTGTCGCGAGCCTCGCGATATGGGGCTGCCGGGCAAGAGAGAGCCAATGCGAGGCGCTACGTAACGGTACATGTCGAAGAAGACGAGCGGGAGCGACTGAGAGAGAGAATGAGAGTCACCACGTCAACATTAGGTACCACCTCCTAAGGTGTACACACACGTCGGCCCACCCGTGCCTGTCTACCTACCTAGGTACCTCCTAGACCACCTACATCGAACAATTATTATGAATGGTGCTGGTGTGCAGAACGTAGGGGGCCGATATACGTTCTGCCAGGGAGCAAATGGTGGCTAAAACCTGGCTAGACACCTGACATAGATCCGATACTTGTGGTTCGATATCAAGCTTGCCGTAACAGTGCCCGGTTCCTAGGCAGTTATAGGTGGTAACATCGGCACCTATGCTCCGATGTGGGGGAGCAGGGGAGTGGAAGCGGAGCGAGTTCAACTTCTACATTGGGGGAATCTTGCTGGGAAGACTATGCAACAAAACAAGACACATAAAAAGTGAAAGATAAAAAAGGCGCGACATGCCGTTGCAACAAGTACACACGCACATAGAACCCCGCCTCTCGCTGGCAGCATGCGTCCGTCGCTCTCTGTCTTCGGGCCTCATCAACCATTAAAATTCATCTCATGATTCTCGATTCTCCCACCGCGGGGCTACTAAGCCCGACGGTGCAGGCTCGAACGCAACCCCCCCGCTAGCGCCGGTCAATAACGATAGATGGGCTCCTTTTTCTTAGAAGAGGCCCCGTTATACGAGGAGCCGTTGTCGTCGTCGTCGTCGTCGTCGTCATAATCCCGCGAGCGCCGGGAGGCGGACCCGGAGGCACCGCGCATCGTCTCCTTGCCGAGACCACCGTCTGGCCTATCGGCATGACCTTGCAGAGTATCGAACCCTGGATGAAAGGGCTCGAACGCCAGCCGGGGCTCGTCCTGGTAGTTCGACGAACGGCCGACCGCCTGAGAGCCCGATCCTGACTGCTCCGGCTCGGGGTCTCGGAAAGGATCGTCTTCGGCGGCGGGCGTGTGGGTTCTCGACGGGCCCGCCGCTGCCGATTCGCGCTCCCGCTCTTTACCTTTGCCATTAGACTTTCGGGGCGGCGCCGATGCCAGGTCCGAAGCGCTCCCGTTTCGCTCCGACTCTATCGGGCTGACCGGCTCGCGGGCCGGCGGCTCTATAGCAGCCACTATCTTCCTCGCGTTTAGCATGGCCCTCTGGTGCAGGCTTAGCGCCGCCTGGAGCTGCTCGTTGGTGTCGATCAGGCTCTCCATGGTGTCGTTGTCGGGGGCCGGGTTCTCAGCGGTCATGTACATCTGTATGCTCCGGCTTGCGCTGGTGCAGCGATCGGCAAATTCCTTGATCAGGTCATTGCTGAGCACCTCGACCGGCGGCGTGTTGGTGACTACTTGCTGGAGTAGCTTAGCAGACGTGCGCGCCTCCTCCAATCTGCTGGCTAGCTCCACCGGGTCGGGAAGTTTCCGGTTCGAATGGTTCCTAGCAAAGTAATTCTGGGAATGCGGGTTGAACGACGCCTGTGGCGCGGGCGGGGAGGCGAGTTGAGTAGGTTGTCGCTGAGGTCGTTTCGTCGTCGTTAGCATATAACATGTTCGATGGGACAAGGGAGTAAGAGCAGGGTTCGACGTACCCCGTACTGCTTTTGTATCTTCTCCTTCTCCTTCTTCCACATATCTATAATGAGAGTTAGGCCCTCGTCATAGGCCTTCGTAGCCTCGAAAGCCTCCAAGGTCTCCATCATCATCTGACGCACGCTCGGGTCGCGAGCGTTCTTCAGCAGGTCTTTGGTGGTATCGGTGAACTTCTGATCGATGTTCCTGGTGAACGTCTGACCCGGGTTGTCGGCGAGGATTCGAGTCAGCATAATGGCGTTATACTGGTATGAGGGCGCCGTCCAGTAGTCCTTTTTCAGGTACTTTCGGATCAGCCGCGCGCATTCTTGCGCAGCGACGGGGGAGGACTCGGCGGCGTCGACGATAGGGGGTAGGAAGAGCACTTCGTCGCCGGAGTTGTTGGAACCCGATTCGCAAAACAATTTCTAGCAGCGCAGTCAGTTCTTGTTCGTGTTCCCTCCTCGCCTCGTGTCGGAGGAGGCCGTATCGGATCGGGTCAGCGGAGACGCACCACACAACGCGCAGCCGTAGCCTCGGGGGTTTCTCCGTCGGCCGCGGCAGGGATACCAGGACCTTCAACGAGATGTCAGCACAACAAGCGCAAATGGTTCGCCGCTGGCGCGAGATGCGCAGAGAGTCCCGGACACGTCGTTTAAGGTTCTCCAAACTCACCATTGTTAGACTTCTTCTTTATGGTGCCCAGCACCCTGCTCATCCTGAGCGACTTCATTGGGCAATTTGTCCGACTGTCGTCCTCGACGTCGCATGCATCTACGTGCTGTGTGGAATTGACGATGGGGGAGTGGTGTGGGTAAAGAGTAAAAAATGAAAAAAGGAAGAAAAGTCGGTAGGAGTCGACAGATAGATTCACAGGCAAATCGTATGTCAACTAAGCCGGTCGTCTACGTAGGCGGTAGGCTAGGGTGGGCGCGGACTGTGCGGATCTCAAGTCTGTGGGGGACGCAGCTCTCGATTAGGCAGGTGATTTAGGCGGCCACGCTGAGCACGGGCGGTCCAGAGGGGAGAGGCGGTTGACGCTGGTCGAGCTCGCCGGCTGCCGTGGATCGAACGGAGAAAATAAATGGCAATATAAACCTGAGAATACAAATCAAACGTAGATCTGGGCTGAGGCGAGTCCGTCTACCTGAGCTTGGCGCAGACGGCAGGGCGGACAGACAATCAAATCAGGCGAATGGATGGGAAGGAGGGCGAAAACGAGGTTGGATGCGTGGAGGCGGGAAGATGCATGAACAGATGGGCGAGGGGATGGCGCTGCAGCGGTGATGGATGTTGTGTTTCAGGGTCTTGAAAACGGCCTGTCAAGGAAAAAAACGATTAAAAAGGGTAGATGAAGGGTTGAAGGGTCGGAGGATTGCAACTTTAAGGGGGCGGCCGAAGGAAGACGACGTCAATCGAGGCGCCGTCCTGCAGGGAGCGTCCCTCTATGAGTACATAGGTACGTACCCCCTAGGCGCGGCAAGTATGCACGTATACAGAGATATGGTTGCGTACGAGGCACCGTAGGTACCTTACGGTAAGATGAGGCCCCTATATGGTGGTGCCAAAAATGCACTTAGGTACCAGAGGGCAGGCGGGCGGAAAGATCAGATTCGTCGACTAACCGGCAGGTAGGTTTGGAGGGTACCTACCTGCCTGCGACGGAAGTCTAGACCCCACCACGGCGTACGAGACGACCTGCTCTACTAATACCTACCGGGTACCTAATCCTAGTACACATCTAGCATATACCTAGCACGGGCGTAGCCTGTTAGCACCTCAACCTCTACACCTATCTACCACCCACCTATGCATGTGTGTATATGTGAGTGTGTATATATGTATGTGTGGATATATGTATGTGTACATGGGTTGATGGCGGATGCGCGAGGCGGGGAGGGACCGCCTGGTAAGGCTGGAGTAGGTAACGTCTTAGCCCCCTTGCCGGGGTTCTCGGGCGAATAAACGTGGAGGAGCGCTGAGGAGCGCGGTCGGCCGGGGGCACGCGTTCTGCGCCGGGTTTGGTACTTGTCTTCGCCCAGGCAGGTACCTGGCTGTAGTATAGGAGGTACCGCTTCCGGTCTCCTAAGTCAATAGAAATGTTGATCTTGTTTAAGTATCTAGATACTTGGTACCGTGCCCAGGTAGGTAACCTCCTCAAGGGGGAGGTACTTTTTCCCAGCTTGGCCTGCCTGCACAGCCTCACAGCCATACGCAAGCCCTCCTCTCTCTCCCATCCCCAACATCTCGCCCATTTCTCGGCATCCCGTCACGAAACCTGCCACGGCCACACGTCGGCCCCATCATTCACGTAGGTATGTACGTACGTACGTAGCACGTAGGTATGTTCACTGATAGGGAGTCCACCCCCAGTCCCCCGTCAACCCATCATCAGACCCCAGCTTACGTACACGCCACCGCCGCCGTCGCCGCCACCCATCATCTTCACCCTCGCCATCGCACCTCCTCTTCCCCGCCAAGGACGTCGTGCCCTCCACTTACCAGCACCGTCGCCGTCCGACAGACGCAAGCCAGCCAGCCAGCCAGCCAGCGGCACCACGCCCGCGTAGGCTAGCAGCGGTTGGGGCTAAAAGGGAGAGTACGCGCGGCTCGTCAGCACCTCCACGAGCCGGAGCGGACCGCGACCATTTTTTCCTTCCCCTCATCCCCCGTCAAGTGACTCCAAAAAAAAAATTCACCCTTGGATCAGCGCTGCCAAGTGGGGTTGACCGAACAAAGCGGGTAGAGGTCGCGTGCAAGGTGAGGAGGAGGAGGAAGAGAGTGGAAGGGAAGAAAGACAGGGCGTGGTGCGAGTCGTGGCCGTGACGAATCGGCCCGCTTTGGTGTTTCTGCATACATACCTACTATATATATATACCTCTATATATGACATACAGAGAGGCACACGTACTACCTACGTAGTGTATATCGGTAGTGTATACCTACCAGGGCTCTATGAATGCTGACCAACCATTGCCTCCCCTCGCTGTCCCCCTATATATGCAATACCCCTTATACCTATACCCAGACGGAGGGGAAGGAGGGGGGAGTTATCGATTCCCTGATTCACCATCCATCCAAGTGTAGGTCTATGTGTAGAGTGAGACGTACGATAAATACCATAGACACGCCTAGCCAACCTACCCATTCGGGGCGACCTACGGCTCCCATCTCACGGGACGTCGCTCTTACGACGTCCGATCTCTTGGGAGAAGGAATTCCTCCCCCCCCCCCAATTCTCCTCCCGGTGAGGCAAGACGGGGTGGAAGGGGATGCAGAGAGCGGTTGATGCAAACGGTCAGTCGGATTATAACCCCTCTCTAGATAGCTAATCTCGCGCGTCCGCACAGAGCCACCACCAAAGATTGCACTTTGCTCCCCCTGCCAACCAACCGCCCTTGCCTTCTTTCCTTGACAAATCCCCCACCCCCCACCCTCTCCCTCTTTCCGGCTCATCCAAGGACGTGTGGATGTGTATACAAGATAGACACGCACGTACACGGCGCGTCCTCGTTGCGTCCGCTTTCCCCCCCCTCCCCTTCCGACGTCTAAACATCTAGGGGATGTGTATAAAGATAATGGATGGGCGAAAAGATCAAACAATAATCAGCCACGAGTCGCCGCGCCGCACGCCCTGAGAATGCCACAAGACGATCGATGGGTGTGTCACTAATGTACAGGAAGCGGCGAAACCGCTCCGTTCCGCCGTATCTCATAAATACCGTGCCACCAGGTGTAGGATAAGAAAAAACGCGACAGGTGTGTCGTCTGGGTGAGAGAGAAAAGGTGGTGTCGATATAACCATATCCTCAAAAAGGGTGGCGCCTAGGAGGATAAATCTTGTTGAAGGTCGACATGCGGGCTCCCAGGGACACGTGCTCGTTACCGGTCCAGCTAGGGAGGGCAATACCGACTGATTAAAAGTTCCATTTCGGCAGCGTTGAAAAGAAAACCCTCGAATTCGCTTCCTTGTTATCTCTCCGAGGACCCGCGCCTCAGGCGCCTAGGGCAGAAGGACGGACCAGCCGAATCTTGCTCACGGGTCGAGACAGATCGACATCCTTTCCGGACGACGCAGAACCCGGCAGGTTCTCGTCCGGTCCGTCGTTATACGAGAGTGTTGGCGCCTCCCCAATAGTTAGAGAAGGTTTGGCGTCGTCTGGTGTCGTATCGTCGGGGCCCGCGGCAACGATGGTGAGACTCGAGTTGCGAGAAGCTCTGGGTGTAGACCGGGGTGGGAACGACAGCTTAGTCTGCATCTTGGCCTTGCTGTAAGTCTGTACTACCGTTTTCGTCTTCCGCACGGCTTCTACGTTGCGGGCAGGAGACGACCTAGAGCCATGTGTAGCCGCCTTGGTACTCACGGAGATGGTCGACACGGTACGTTTGATAGCTTGCGCGGCACCTCGAGCTGCTTTAGCCCCGATGTTAGAAAGGGCATTTGTAACACTCGCACCTTTGACGCCCGACGCGGTCTTGATCCTGCGCTTTTTTGCCGCGTTCTCGCCGTCTTTGTCACCGAAGGCCTCCTTCAACTTTCTCTTGCCGGCGTTGACGCCGCGCTTGACAGCGTCTGTCAGTTTCTCCTTCGGGGCCTTCACGGCCTTTGAACCCTTTACCTCCTTCGGCTTCGGGCCCAAGACACCTCGACAGTTGTCGCTACCACAAAGACACTTCTGGACGTTCTTAGCTGAGAAGGGGTCGAAGTTGTAGTCGTATGTCAGCTCCTCGCCTGTCGTGATAGGGCGGTCGCCAGCAAAAAGTGCCATCCGCGGTTGCCCCGAGACGATCCATTTAATCATCCGGCAGTTCGGCGAGCATGAATGGTTAACGAAACGAGCGATACTACCGGTCGTCGCGTCGATGATCATGTTCTGGTCGAAAGACATCAGGTAATAGCACTAGGCTCAGTAGTTAGCTGCGTTCGGAAAGCGCCCATTCAATATTCGCTCTTTTTTTCTGTATCTCCCTCCGAGCCTTACCTGGTTATTTTTGTATTTCTCCGTCATGCGGCGGTCGCATTCCTCTTCGGTGATAATCTCGCCCGTGTATTCCATGATGATCTGGTTGGCCTCGAAGCACCGGTTGCTGCGAATACCATAGCCGCGGTCTTTGGTTTTTATGACCTCTACTCCGACCCTGTATTTGCCGCCTTCTTTGATACGCTCCTGGAGCCGAGCAAAAGCGCGATTCTGGCACAAGTGCGGTCCGACATTGCAGTTGGTGTCGTCGCATTCGTACAGCATAATTCGGTTCTGACAGCTCTCGCCGCATCCGTCCTCCGGAGTGCACACACACTTGGACTGATAATCCTTGAAGTGTGGGGTCTTTTTCCAGTACGCTCCGGCATCGCCCACGAAACGATCTAAGAGACGCGTTAGCAACGACTTGCCAACGGGAGAGATCGGAGACGGAGCCGGTCATTCCGGCAGTAAATGAAAACAAAAAGAGAACGCGGCGGATATGGCAGCAGCAAACTTACTCTTCGTCATCTTCCTCCACTCGTCGGGTTTAGGTTGCCCCGGCGGGAGCGGGTTGCAGACATCGAAGGGCAGCTTGAAGTCCCGGCCCTGGATCAACATCCGCATTCCGTTATAGATCGGTAACGGCAATACTTTGTTAGGTCTGGTGGAGGTGGGCATCAGCTCGGGCAGCTGCGCCAGCCTCTTCTTCTCCGAGGAGGTGAGTCCCTTGAAGACATCCGACGGAGTGTCCTGGCCCGCGTACAAACCGCGATCGAGGTACTTCTTGGCCCGCCTCTTCCTGGCCGCTGGTTCCTCCTCGACGACAGGTTCAGGTTCCGGCGTGGGTGCTTCGGGCGTCTCGGCGGAAACCTTCTGCTTCTTTCGGGGAGGCTCGGGCTCGTCTGGTGAGACGTACTTGCCATTGGCCCACGTCGTGTATACAACAGGTTTCTTATCAATACCGGCAAATTCGTCCGTGTCCTGCAACCGGCGCAATTCCCGAGACATCTTGCTGACGCCCTTGTCGAACGTCTTCCGGCCCCGCTTACCCAGGGTTGACAATTTCAACGCCAACGTTTCGGCTTCTACGCCTGAAGAACGCGTCGAGATGCGTCGCGGGGCGGATGGCTCACCCGGTGTCGCGGGGTTGGGCTTAGACGGGTTACGGTCGCGCGTCAACTGTCGCTTCTTCCGCGCTGCGGCCCTCTGGGCTTCTTCTTCGTCGTCGTCGGGGATCTCGTATTCGTCGATCGCATTTGCGGTAACGGTCTGGGTTGCAACCGTGTTGCGTCGCTTTCGGTTGCTGACATCGTCGCCTTTGGCTCGTCGTTTGCCGTGAACAGCGGTTCCGGCCAGCTTGGCTAGGTTGTAGATCGGGGCGCTAAGACGCTGCCGACGCGAACGTCCGATCGAGGGCGTGTCGAGAGCGGGTGGTAAAGGCGATTCGGAAGGTGGAAGGAAATTGAGCGGCTCGGCAGACGCGACAATGGAGTCGGCAACGTCAGTTGAGGCGTCCACGTCGGCGGGCTCGGCGGGCCCGCCAGCGCTGTCAATGGCGGCACCATTCTCGGGTTTAGACGTGTCCGAAGTCAGACTGATACTATCGGCAATAGTAGTGGGAGGCGTCGAGCTCAGGGACGCGGTGTGGGAAAATGTGTCAGTAGCCGCACCGACGCTGGCCTCGGAGGATAGGGCGCGCGTCGGAGACACGCTCGCGAGTGACTGCATGGCGAGTCAACGCGACAATGGGGTTGGTAACGAGACCGCGGTTGGAAAGGGGGGATGCAAATACGAGATATGACGCGTTATAGTGGTGATTGTTTTTTCTTTTTTTTTTCTTCAGCTTGGGGAGAGAGAGGAGGAGGGGGGGGGGAGTAAGGAAATAGGGAGAGGATGGGTTCCGCGGTGTGGAGAGAGGAAGTGCGTATAGGCAGGAAGAGTGAAGGTTGCTGGTGTATGCGTTCTAAGTGTTTTGCTGCGATAGGTCGGTTATGTAATCCTCGGGTGTGGTGCAGACTAATACGGCGGTACCGCGATGGCATGTATCAAATTATCGCGAAGGATGGGGGGATGCGTGGGTGGATGGGGGTGAAATTCCCGACCAGACATGCGCATGTAATTAACGTAGGGGTTGTTGCGGTCGTGTACCGGTACCTCTGCCGCCTACGTAGGCATACGAAGAGGTCGTATGAGGCGGGTATGTAAAGAGAGTGACGATCGGACAAGGAGCCAGCCGCAGGTATGTGTATACCTACTACCAGTCGCATACAGCACCGTGTACCAGATGCCTGTCGCGTGTTGTCCGGTGTCGAGAGAATGAGCGCGTGTAGGTATGATGGAAGAGGTATGCAGGGAGTTGGTGTATGTGTGTACTAGCACCAGCCCTTTTGCGGGGGGTTGGATGCGAGCGAAGTGCAAGACTACGCAAGAGTAGAATCAAGTCAACTCCGTAGGCGCGCAAGGAGGAGGCGACGAAAAAGAAGAGGGTGGTGACGAAGTGGAAGAAGTCGAATGCCCCTGTGTGGATTATAGAAGCACCCGCGAACAAGAGAGAAGGGGGAGGAGTCGATCCCTTAGACGGAGTAGGAACCCAATAACTTAGATAATAAGGCAGTGAAGGCAGGGAGGAGGAGGGCGAGCTCAAGTGGATGGAATTGGGTGGGCGTCGTTAAGGAGGGCAGGCTGGTAAGCCAGGGGACAGCAGAAAAGGACAAAACCAATCTTGTCGGCCAATCGTCAAGACCTACCCCCGTGGTCCGTCCGTCCTACCAACGCGACCGGACTTTGCACTTGGATCGGTAAGAGAGGGTCAAGGCAGGCCGGGTACTTGATGCTGATTATCTCCCCTTCTTCTGATCCCTCTTCTCACTACTCTAGCCTTCCGAGAAACCGAGGACCGGTCGAGGCAAGGAAAGAGAGAAAACAGGATAGGTTCAGCCGGACGGGTCCGGAACAAGGGGCGGAGGTGAAGGAGGCAGAAATTGAGTTAGGAGCAGGCTAGAGTATGCTGTATGAAGATTGCGTAAGAATTGGATGTCCAGTCCGCGGCTTAGCTTATTAGCTCGCTGCGGCGTAGACAACGATGAGGACGATGATGGCGAAGGCGATGGCGACGGCGACGATGGAGAGAGTCCTTGTCCTGGTAACTCTGGGTGCATGTGGCCGATCTTGGGAATAGCGGCACGTCGATTGTCAATGCGTAAGTGCGCACACGTAATTTCCGAGGATCTGCTTCTCCTTTCTTTTTGTTCTCGATTAGCAGTCAGTCTGAGGAGAGACCTTTGCCGCTGCTGCAGGTGTCACGCAGAGATGTCACCCTCTACCCGGTTTGGCGAATAGGTGAAAAAGTCGGCGGGAACACAAGGAGGAGGAGGGAGAGGGAAGTGGGTGAAGACAAGATGCTCGGTGTAGGGTCGATGGGTGAGTCGAGTTGGGATGTGAAAAAGGGCTAGGTTTGGGAATGGGAGGGGGAAGAAGAAAGAAAGAGAGAGAGGAGGGGGGGGGGGTCAGATGCCGGTGGGTTCGGTTTGTGGTGCGCAGTGATGCCAGCCGGATTAGAGAGAAAGTCTGAGTAGGGAGTGTGTGCCGTGCGTGTGCAGTGCTTGCTGGCGCCGGTAATGGTAGTACTAATACCAGGCATACATAGCTACCTACTGCGATCTGCGTTGTATCGGTAGATTGTGGTATTTTATCATTCTACGCTGCAAAGAGAGAATCGGTGCGGACACCCTGGCGCTGCTGCGAGGTCTGAGAGTCGGAATGCTTCAGGGGTGTTGGGCAAAAGAAGAGGGGAGGGAAAAGGTAGGAAGAAAGAATTGTTGAAAAAGTGAACGTGAGGAGGAGGGAGGGAGGGAGGGAGAGGGAGAGAGAGAGGCAGAGGGAGCAGGAGAAAGAGGAGTGAGAGATCACACACTCACACAACACATACATCGAATAGGTATACCTACGTACGCGCTCGGAAGGCTAGAGAAAGAAATACGGATTTCGTGCAGGTTGGGGGAACTGGATCAGGATCTGGTAAATAGAGGCGACCTCGACGCGGAGAACGTGTGCCACTGATCTACTTACACGTTTAGTAGATAAATGCCATTTCACCAACAAGACTGTAGATAGGGGGTGGAGGGCGATGGGGAGAGCGAGAGTGAGGATGAAGCGGGGAACGGTGCAATGTTTTAATATGTTTGTTCTATGGCTGTCACATGGATATTTTTGGTTGTTCGTAGAGTTAGTCGTATTTCTTGCTATGGTGTTCTTTTAATCGCACCGGCAGTGGTGGTTGTTATTGTTGCGGTACTATTTCCGTAGCAGTATTGAGGACGATGGTGGTGATAGTGCGTGTTGTTGTCGTTGTCGTTGTTATCGCTGCCGTTACTATCGCCGGTGTTTTTTTTTTATCGCCTTGGTTATATTTATCCCTTAGCTAGGTATATGGAAGTGATGGTCACGTTTCTGCCTTGGCTAGGAGACAGCCAAAATGTCTCCCGTCCAGGATCCTAGGCCAAGGTGCCGGCCAGTCATGTTCTCTGGATTACATAGTCCGACACCTCCGCGCCTCTTCCTCTGACTTCATTATGCCATCGAGGCATGCGTCGCTGCGGCTGACTGGACTGGCTCTCTCTATCCGTCCATCTGACTGACCGGTCAAACCGACTGACTAAACCCAGCCAGCTACCAGCCAAATGCCCCCGTCCCCGTCCCCCATCGCGTCAACTCCCTGCCCTAGCCTCGACCAACCCATCTCTTGCTATCCCAGTGGTCGCCTCTTAGCCACCGCTCGCTGCCGTAACCTCGCTCCATCACCCCCCTCCCCCTCTCCCCTCTTTTCCTACGAGAGACGAGGCACCTATTCAAGTCGATACCTTTTTTTCTCCTTCTTTCTTCGCAGGATGTATCCAAGAAATGCATGTTTATAAGTAACTACCTGTCTATATGGTCAATACGGGGACGGGCAGTCCTCCGACTTTACCTACTACGCATACGGATCAGGGGGGCATCGTAGGTTTATCAATCACCTTGGAAGTGGGGAGGCGGAGGAGGGGGGAGGGGGCGAGCGACAGTCATGTCACTTCATAACCTCAACTGCTTGATCCTCTTGGTCCCCTCCCGCACCCATCAGGTTATGTTCAAGTATCTATAGAAATCCACTCAAGGGATCTCCTGGGGAGAGCAGGGCAAGGCGGTCGTAAGATGGTCGCAGAACGCTAACTTAAGTAACATTATATCTCCATACAACGAAGAGCCCAGGTGTTGAAACTCTTTTATCGTTCCTCTTGTCGAGGTGGCCGTCGTACTAGGCAAGTCAGTTGTGGGACGGACGGGCCGGAGGGGCCGGCTACTTCGAGAGAGGGACGGTGTATTGATTTTTTCTTCCTTTCGGTGAGATTCCGGTCATGTCACTCGAAGGTGGTGTTCGTCCTCGCTCGGCTAGGCACTCAGACGGCAGGCCATGACGACTATCTTAGGCCGTATTCTAATGACATTAACCAAAATCGACGAGATATCGTTGTGATGAAGTGAGTACTGGTCGAGTAGCGGGCCAAGGGAGAGAGTCCCCTTGTGCTGATTCCGTTGGTTAGTCGGGATGTAAACCCCGGGTTTCTCTATCTAGCGATGCTGCTCCTACGGTGTGGCCTCAGCAAAGCGACCGTCGGAGGCGGAAACGCTCAAGCACACATACCTACATACACGCCTATAATACTCACCACGACCCTCGGTTAGGTCCTAGCACATAGTCCCTAGGAACCTGCCATGCAGGCTTGTAGACTTCGCGATGTATTCTTTACGGGTTCCACTCACGTCGCATTTCCACCAGCGTCGCCGCCACCGCTGCCGCCTCTTCCTTCTCCCGCTTCTCTGAATATCGAATTAGGTCTACTCCGTAGCTACCTTTCGTTTGTGGTGCGAATTGAGCCTGCATTGGTTCGACTTCCCTCCCCCAAAAGGCTTCTGATATTGCCTCCCCTTGAACATCTCCGTTCGCCTTTCGTACCCATATGTACCTATTGCTCGTCTCGGGTGGGCTCATCGGAAGCGCTCTGCTAATATTTCGTGTTATATTTTAATCGATAGGAAAATGTTCGTAACCTTATGTGTGGTTGCAGACGGGACCAGTGCTTGACCGGCAACCCTATCCACTTCTCTGTCTCCTCCGGGCTAGATAGCTGCCAAGACACCGCAGGTCATGGGGACGAGGGTGAGGTCGAGGTGTGGTGTATATATTACCGTGACAGGTGCGTAGAGGCGTTTGATGGGTCCCGAGGAACTCGGGGTACGAGCTCGTTAAGGGCCACGACCGGGCCTTTTGATGGTCTTAGTAGCTCTATCAACTTGGGTCTGAGGGGGGGGGGGGGGGGGTGAGTAGGCTCTATCGACCTCATGTTTGAGAAATCCGTATATGCCTACATGCGTCAGGTATGCATTGGACAGATCACTCCATGGATAGCGGGGTAAGCGAGCGGGCTCAATGGCCTTCCCGATTTTCATAATGGAGTCTCGAATCAATAACCTCTCAGTAGTGAACCCCCGTGGTTGACGCCGTACGGGGAGGTCGGTGGCAAATGGGTAGGGAAATGAGCAGAGAGCGGCGGCGCAGTCGCGTCAACGCCGAGGCAGAGAGCGGATTTGTAACAAGTTCGATAAGTACGTCCGTACAGCTGCTCTCCTCTCCTTTGGTCTCCCTCGTCCCATTACCGGTTGACATCTCAATCGCGATTAGGGGCATGTCCCCTAATTACGGCCCAGATCGCGCAACCTCGCCCGCTTTTTTCCCGAACGCAGGCTCGGAGCTGGGAAGGGATGATGAGGTGGAAAGAACTGGGCCTACCTAGATGAGTGTATCGAGATGGGGTTCTCCGACCGACCATGTCCACCACGGCGTAGATACCAACTTGGCGGCCAAAGGACCAGAGGCGAACCTGGCAGGATACGAAGGGTTTCCGCTCCGTAAGATTCGATTCGGTTTTATCCGGTACTCCTACCATCACAGGTTGCGATGCGCGCTCTGTTCTAACGCCAGTTTTCTACACTTGATCCCAACCACGGTTAACCTATCGGACAATAACTGCCAGCACACGTTGTCACCCAGGATATGGCATAACCACGAGTAAAGAATCAATATAGGTCTTGAGAGGCGAAGTACTTTCTCAGCTACCCCTTGGCGACTTCTAGCAAGCGCTTCATTGAGCGACTATGCTGTTTGGATGGCCCCGTAAACGCCGGATGACTAGGGATCGACCACTCGTCAATCAACCCCGAGCGCCGGCTTTGCCGGTATAACCATCTTGAAACCCATTCACTGCTTACGGCCTTGCGTCCCTCGGATGAGTGCTGGCTCGCCACTAGAGCATTTTAAAGGTGGAAAATGTATTCGAGGACCGAGGATTGGGCGCCTCTAGTCATAGGACAGGCAGTCATCAGAGGTAATCACACTTTAAAGAGACATCAAGGACGCCTTTGATGATTCATCAGCGAGGAGCCACGATCAGCTCAAATTTTTCGCGACTGGCGATATTGCCGAAGACGTGTATCTGGACTTGGTAGCTGCCACTGCAGCGACACGTACGTTGTAGGGACTACCCGGCCTCCTGGGACCGGGAGGCTCTGCGAGCGAGCGCGGATTTGGTTGTCGGGGCCCAACGGAATAAGACACCCTGGAGGAATAACGAAGACGACAATGTCCAGTCACATCTGTTTGTCCGCGATAATCAGGGTCGATAGGCGAGGGCACGGTGGCAGCATATGCTGCCACTCGTCTGGCGGTAGACTGCTGAGCCGCCTGCCCAATCCCAAGCTGAAGATGACCCTCAAACCGAATTCATCACGGCTGCGTCCACGAATTTACGTCGAGTATTCGGCTTATTGCCCAGCCGTATTCAGCGTGTGCAGGCCTCGGCTTCCTCACCGTCCGGAGCCCAGAATGCTGGAAAGCGTCGTTCCGACATAGCCCCCAAACCTCGGCCCCTTCCCCCTTCCACCGGAGCGCAAGGGAGGGGGGAGGGTCGAAAATATGTCAGCTCTTCCCTCTTGAGTCTAAACGAAGAGCCTTTGAATCGATCCTGAAGGCCGATCCCATACCGAGGAGGGCAGACCGCCATCTGCTGCCGTGTTTTGTGAGTCGATGCCACGTGTTCATCGGCGCACTACTGTTCGGGGGAGATCTCACGATGCTCTAGCTAGGTTAGTATGGTAGCTAGTAGGCATATACAGCTTTATACCTAGCGTGCATGTATAAAACGCATCCATATGGTAACTATGTGGAAGGGGAGATGATGTAGGAGGTATAAAGAGAGGGATGGCAATTGGGAAACGTTGGTAGAGGTTCGTGACCCTATCTTCTACCGGAAATCTGTGTGTCGCTATCAGGTCTACCGAACTCGATTCGCTCCTATCTACGGAGTACACGTGATTAGAGGTTCTGAGCTAATTAGGAGTCCGCTCTCTAGAACCAGTTCGTACCTGCAGCCCAAGCTTGTTGCACCAAACGCCACGAGAAAATGTCAACAGTTCTCATTCAGTATAGAATAGCCCTCTACTTCGTCCAAACCCCGGTATATATTCCCATTTTTCTATCGGCCCTACAGTAGCTAATAGAGGTATCTATCACAAGAAATCTTTACGTATCCGATAAGTCACAGCTGGGGGATGCGACACGTCTGCCTCACGCTCATATTCGAACCACCAGCATGTCGGTCCCACACAAGCCGGCCTCCCCCTCAAACTGAATTAATATCCCAGGCCATCTCGCTGGGAATATTGCTTACCTATATCCTCCATCTGTTTCATGACCTCGATGTACGTATCACAGATGCCGCCACTCTGCGGAAGGTTTAAGTTGGGGGGACTTTCCAGCACTCTGGTCGATCAACAGCTCAGGGAGCTGGACATCACCCTGAACCCTGGCTGGAGCATTGTTACCTTTCGAACAGTTCTCAAACCAGCAAACCCTCGACAAGCCGCTCGCCCTCCCACCTCTAGGGCTGAAAATGGGGAAACGAATCCGACTGGCGGTGTGCTCCCATACCCTGGCAGATGAAGGCGCTGGGCTTGGGGTGGTCGGTTGGACGCAATAAGCGAGCGACACTACAGGGTTCGATCTCCATTCAGAGTCATCCTGGAGGCATGACGGCCTTCCCTTCCATTTCTTCATTTTCTTCCCCCTCTTATTGACTGCTGGGGTTTGATAAGAATTACTGAGCCTGATTGCCTGCTGGGAGTTTATTTTTCCCCACTCCCTTCACACTGACTGCGGCGACGGCGTCAGTCCCTCCTCCTCACCATGCCTACTACCACCTTACGATCTGTAGGTGACAGATACAGACCCGTCTCCCTCAAAGAGGCCCAGTCGCATATATACGGCTGATCAGCACCCTGTGGTCAGCGACCCCGCCGGGGGGAGGAACCGGGCCGGAATCTTCCACCGTCTAGATGTTCCTTAAGTCTTCTCCCCTCTACCGTGGCCTCCCCATCTAACTTACACATGGCGTTACTGGGAGGGTATGGGCAATCCTTACCCGAACAGCGCCTTCATACCACCTTGCAAGCCATGGGAAAGACCGGAGAGACTTCCGCCTGCGTTGAGGCGTGAGGTCCAAGAAAGTGACTGCACCTATGAAACATCTAAGAGGCAACATGGCATCCGCCCTTGCGCTCCGGATAATTGTCTATTTGTATTTGTCGGTTTCGTTGGCTAGGTAGAAATTTGTATAATCTAGTGGCCACCGAGACTGCATCGACTCTCGGTTGACTAAATTCAGTAATCCTCGCACGATAGGGCATCATGCCAGCACTCAGTGTACTACTAACGTAATCGGACACCTACTTATTCGGTCAGGACACCAATCCGGTCACTTTTCTCCGCCCCGCACCCCACCACCTCGACCCCAGACGCGTCTCACGGCACCATAACGACGGCAAAATGCCAAAGCATTTGCAGCACGAAGACCAACTCAAGTTAGCGATCGAAGCGCTAAAACTGGGCCAAATTCCAAGTATTCGCAAGGCTGCAGCTATATTTGATGTCCCATTCTCGACTCTTCAAGAACGCATCAGAGGACATAAGTCTCGACAACAGTCAGAACTAACGCGTCGAAAGCTTCGCCCAACTGAAGAAGCCGCTCTAATTCAGTGGATCGAATCAATGGACGACTGCGGTATGTCACCAGCAATCGGTTATACTCGACAGATGGCCGATCTTCTTATCCATGAGCGTGGAAGCTCTGTTTTACTCGACGCGTCTAGCACAATGAATCCAGAGAATGATACTGTTGGGGAGAAATGGGTCCGGCGGTTCCTTGACCGACAACCTCACCTGAAATCAAAGTATTCTCGAAAGTACAATTATCAGCGAGCCTTATGCGAAGACCCGGAGAAGATGTAAGCATGGTTCCGGCGGGTACAAAATACCATCGAGAAATACGGTATCCTCGACGGCGATATCTACAACTTTGACGAGACTGGTTCCCAGATGGGAGTAGCTAGTACAGCTAGGGTGGCTACTCGATCTGACCGGAGAAATCGGCCCGTTGTTGTTCAGCCTGGGAACCGGGAGTGGACCACTGTTATTGAGTGTATCAGTGCAGATGGTTGGGGCCTCAACCCGATGATAATCTTCGAAGGGAAGGTCCATATCTCGACATGGTACGAGGACTCGCTATTACCACCGACTTGGAGGATTGCGGTTAGCGAGGACGGCTGGACAACTGACGAGCTTACTCTGGAATGGCTCCGGGGAGTCTTCGAGCCGCAGACTCGATGCCGGACGTATGGCCAATGCCGACTACTTATTCGCGATGGCCACGGAAGCCATATTACACCCGAATTCGATAAATTCTATAAGGAGAATTCGATTCTCACAGAGCGTATGCCCCCACACCCATCGCATCTTCATCAGCCTCTCGATGTTGGTTGCTTCTCGGTCCTTAAGCGATCCTATGGCGACCTTGTTAAAGCAACGATGGCACTTGGAGTCTATCATATCGACATGCCAGTATTCCTCGAGCTGATTCTCGACGCCCGGAAGAAGAAATTTAGCTCGGAGAATACTAAAAGCGGCTTTACGGCAACAGGGCTTACTCCACTCGATCCAAATCGAGTACTTGCTCGGCTTCATGTTAAAATTCGAACACCAAGCCCCCCCTATAGCTATCGAACAACCAAGCTCCACACTCCCTCTCAAGACTCCATCAAATACCATAGAGCTTGATCAGCTCCGGAGACGACGTCAAAACAGGACAAGTCCTACAGATCAGACACCACAGAAGATCATCAAAAGCGTGTCAGATGGCAATGCATGACGCTGTTCTCTTATCCGACGAGAACTCACGACTTGGAGCTGAAAAATGCTCGGCAGAAGAGATAACGCGCGCAACGTCGAGTCTTGATACAAACTGGAGGGACCATGACAATTGGCGAGGGATGGGCCAATATAGAGGCGCGCCAGAGGCCCCGACGTAGCGGGGAGCCCCGGGAAGGCTCCTCAGGAGGCGGTGGGAGAAGAGGCGGCGACCGCTATATCACCGCCCCGAACGCGTGCACCACGGAAGTGTAGTATTTGTCGCTCAATTGAGCATACTGCTAGAACGTGCCCCGATAAGTAAGGATACGAACGATATAGATTATATACTAATCATATTGTCTTTTTTGTGGTGAGTTGCATCTAAAGTCGAGGTGGTGGGGTGCGGGGCGGAAAAAGTGACCGGATTGATGTCCGATTACGTTATAACCGAGAGGTACGAAACCCCTGGCAAGCACTAGAAGCAGAGAGGATAGGAAAGGAGAGGGGCATGCATAAAGCAGTGGTTTGCAGAGCTGGGAATCAATCTCTCAAATCCATTGATAGATAAGCCTCTAGCAGGTGCTTCCGTAAACATCTCAAGTATATCTAGCGCTAGTATTCACGATATACCTGGCAGTAAAAGTCGTTTATATCTACGGTCTGGGGGTAGGAGAGCTTAACTCAAGAACGATCCCCCACTCCTTGGAGTATGATGCTTGCTCTCCCTGCTCCTTTCCTATCTACTTTGACACCAACTCTATACGAAATCACTAAGTCGACAGCTCGGCAAACCTGAACCACCCGTGCTCTAGCGCCGCATCTGCAGAGATTCGCTGCCCCGGTAAGTATCAGAGCAGCTTCGCCAGCAGGTCGGCAAAGAGCACGCTCTCCGACTCCGATAAAGGTCGTTCGATGCCACCCGGCCTATCGCTATACTCATAGTACAGGCCTTCCCGGATTGCCTCCTCCAGCGACCGCGGCTCCGGCCTCTGGTAGACAACCGGGTCACCAGCGCGCCTGCTTAAATCCCCATCTCGTGCTTCACGGCACTCTATACCGGGACCTAGCCCGCCATAGACTTCAATCACCCGCCCATTCGCATCTGTATCATCTCGAAAATACTGTTTTCGCGTCTCCCACGTCTCCGACCACCATGGCTCGGGAAACTTCCCGAGCACCATGGCCACTTTACTGAGGTATTCGTCTCGGTCGTCGTCAAAGGTGTCAAAGAGCTTACGGCCCGTACGGATTTCGAACAGCGTACAGCCAAGAGCCCACAAATCAGATTCGACACCAACGACACCATCTAATACGTATTCCGGAGAGCAGTAGACCTGTGGGATCCCAAGATCGGGGGTCGGAGTCGATACGTCAAAAGATTCGCCAAAATCGATCAGGGACGCTTTCTCGACAATAAGAGCGGACCCCCGCGGACTAGCCACGACAGCATTCCAGTTGACCGGATACACGAGATACCGAGGACCTGTAGACAAATTATAGGCATCCCCAGATAGAGTCACGACGTTGTTTAACTTGGGTTCTCCCAGGATGTCTAAAACTTCCTCTTCGGAGAGCCCATCGAGACCCGAGATTTGGACCAAGATGTTGGCTGGCCGGAAGTCTTTGCATGAAAGAAAAAAAATAGAGAACGTTAGTAAACATACAAGGTATAGGCCACACTGACGATTGGTAGAAGACACATACCACCGTGGCAGATGCCAATAGAATGGAGAAGCGCCATTGCTTCTGTTGTTTGAGACGATATTCTTCTCAACACAGCGCCAGGGTCGCCTGAACTCCCTAAGTGGATTAGGCGTGAAACCCGAGGTCCCAACACTGGGTACACGAAGACATAGTGTGTTCCGTTAGGTCCCTCGATATCGAAACGGTCGAGAGGGAGGCATAAAAGCCCCCTCGCTGCACCGCTTTCTTTGGTGAGTTCGGTAAGCTTGGTCACCCGCAATTCCGGGCATGCTGGCGTAGATCCCTCGGCCGAGATGATTTTCGCTGCAACGTACGAGTATCCAGGCGCCGAAGACATGTCTCTACAGAGCCAGACAATAGCATAGCCGCCGCTTCCAAGTTTGTGGACGACTCGATAACGTTGGTGAAGCATGTCGCCCAGATGGACGGGGTGGTGGCCACCCAGCTCATAGTCGTGCAATTCCTCGAGACCAAATGGCGCCCCTTGCAGCCGTAGGGTGGTGTTATTGTGACTATCGGAATTTCGACGGTCACTTCCTAGGGCACCTGTAGACCCCTTCTCAGACATTTCATCACCCATGGAATCGTAGGAAAGCCGAGGACACGTAGGAGATATCGCAGGTTGTCAAGAGCTCTTAAGAATGCAACCTGCAAAGTTGTTGGGAGTTGGAAATCCTGGAAGCCGTGAAGGCCGAGGAGGAATGGCCCCACCAAATGAATGTAGCCAGCGGGCGGGCCCGACCTAAAACATTCTCAATTAGCTTGCGTCTTGGAGACACACCCTTCTCTGTTTTTGTCGCCGGTTGCTCGCCCGCGCAAGCGCCTCCCGGCGGCTGAGTTAAGTTTACCTTAACACGGCCTCGGCCGCCTCTGCCCCCGTCAGGCGATCGGCGTCTCGTTCCGAGAAGCCAGCCGCCCGGAGGCGCTCCGTTCGGTTGGCGCGGAGCTTCCGCCGGTCGCGGAACGCCTCGACGGCGTCGTCCCAGCCAGCGCCACCCAGGCCCGCGTCGCCATCGTCAGCGTCGTCGCCATCCAGGCGGTGGGGAGACTTGCGTGTCCGTCTATGATCACCCGACGCTTCAAACTCGTCCGTCTTTCCCCTTGACGCTGTCTTATCGTCCTCCCCACGTATCCGCCATCGTTGCTTTTCCTGCAGTAGTCCACCAATGCCAGGGGACTATCTGTGGTCCTTCTGTGGGCTGTCCCTGTTCTGTTTGGCCGTGCAAGCGCCCTCTTTGTGGCAGGGTATGTCTGTCCCTGTCTCGTCTCTCGTCCCGGCAGTCTCTACAGCTCCTATATTTTCATCAGCTATCGTCGTCGTGTATTTGACTGGCAGCGTTTCTTCCACTCGTCTTCGTGGTCTAGCTCTCGTAGGCGGCTGTAGCTCTCGGCAGCCTCTCGGGCGAGTAAGGCGGTATTGTGGGAATTGCTATCTTTGAAGATGTGGCAGGGAAATCACGTATTGGGTTTGGGCAAGTTGGCTGGTCTAGGATGAGGTCGGCGGCGCGGTTCTCTGAAGGGAGAGGGGTAGATGTGAGGTGGTTGCTGACTTTTTGGACGAGTTCAGGGCTTCGGGGCTTATGGCAAAATAGGGAAGCGAAAATTCCGCGCCTCCTTGGCCGGCACATCGCCGGCGACGTCATTGGAAAGAACGGTCGCTCATAGTCGCGGTTGCCTTGCAGATTAACTAGTTGGGATGAGGTTTTTTTTCTCGATTACTTAAGCCGCCGCCACCGCTACTACTGCCACCACTACACTACCAAGTTAATTGCACCACTAAGTTAATTGCACTGCCACCACCTCTGCCACCTATTATAATACTTAAAAACTAGATTCTAAGGTAGATTTACGTTGTAAAAAAGAATCAATGAAGTGCACTTTCATACGGTAGTTAGAAATACATTTAAGAGAAATTTTTAAACCCATTAAAATACGTCGAAGCGCTCCGCGCTTCTCCAGGTTTTCGTGCCGAAAACCTAGAACCTCTCCGAAGGCTAGGGAAAAAGGGGTAAGTAGGAATCGACGCTTGATTAAACTGCGAAAAGGGATTGATTAGCAATTGACTCTTGATTGAACGGGGAGAAACTGACCTGGATTGAACGGGGAGAAACTGACCTCGATTGAATAGGATTGAAATAGGTAGGAAATAGGATTGAACGCGTAGGTAAATAGATGGACGCGTATGCTGCGGTTTTATTGGATGCATCCCTTTAAGCGGGTCATACGAACTTTTAACCAATTAAAACGGCGTATACGAACTTTTAGCCAATAAAAACAGAGTTTCCCTCAAATGACACCCCTTTACAGGGGTATTTACAGGGGTATTTAACCCCGCAATTAATCAGCATAACAGGGGGTTATGCGTATTATAACTATCCTCCGGATAGGATAAAGAGTAGAGAAAGTTTAAGTAATAGAGAAAAAGCTCCGTATAAAGCGGGGGTTCTCACCTAATCCGGTTAGAGGTTGGGGTAAGGTACAGGGGACTAGTTAGGCTGGTCTGCGACCTTGTAGGTACTTGATGAATGATATACCTCCTATCTACCTACCTACAAAAGAGGAAGAAGAGAACCACACCACACACACACACACCCAGCAACGGCAACATATACATACCTACACGTACACGCATAAGCCCAAACCACACAAACACACAAAATTGCCTCCTTATATTGTAGGCATGTTGATCAGCACAACGACGCCGACAAAGTCGGGCATCTGTGATCTGTACATGTCTGTAGATACCTAGCGAAGAGGGGAGGGAGATACCCAGGAAAGTGGGGACCTGATGCTCCTCCTAAGGTAGGTAGGTACCTAAAGTGCCTACATTTAGGTGCCCCTTCGCCTATCCCCAGCACCTACCTAGCTCGCCTAGGCATCCACCTTAGGGGCGCATATTTGTAGCTTTCATCCCATTCAGAGAAGGGCCTCCGTCGAGGTTAGGCATATACCGGGGAATTCCCATCGCCTCGGAGGCAAGTACCCCGCTACTCTACATTGGGAGGTGCCTTAGCAATATCTACATGACCTTACGCATCTAGGTATTACCTACCTACTTTGGTATGCCGCCGCAGCGAGCATTGAAGACGGCACTGGTAAGTCGACCGGAGGTAAGAGGCAAGAATCGCCATCTGTCAGATATGCGTAAGCGAGTCGATTCATGATGGCCTGAGGCTATCGAGTCTACGTGTAACTGGTAGTAGACATGTAGTAGACATGCCGAGGGTGGGAACGCCGCCCGCCACGCCAGACAGACCGGAGAAATAAGCAAGCACTAATTCATCTGGGAGTACGCCCTCGCACCCCTGATTCCTGCGCAAGACCAGAAATAAAGCCCTTGTAACGCCGTGTGCTACGCATCAACACCGAGGGCACGTCACGAAAACAGAAAAGGCCCGTCTCCCTCGTGCGGTGCCTGGTCAGGAGATGATGATCCTAGAAACGCAAGGCGGACTTGCCCTGTCTCACTGATGCCGATTCCGTGTATGAACCTGCCCAGATCGACAACCCATCGAGTAAAGGAGGGGAGGAGAGAAGACGACGAATAAGAAAGAAAACATGCCCTCAAGTCTAAATAGGCACTTGACTTGCCGCGAGGCTGGCCGGTACTTGGCCATTGAATCTTCTAGGTGTCAAATTCCGTAACTGTAATGACTTAATTCGTGGTATTTCTTTCCCCTTCGTGGAAAAAGAAGAGGCAAAAACTTTCCAGGAACTCCAGGTAGGCAAACCTCTCGTTCACGTAAAACTAGGGGGGTATGATGATGCCAAGTCTATCGCGGTACTGCCACAGGGTATCCACGTTGTGATCGAGAAAGAGTGGTGGGAAGGGAGAATAACTCGAAACGTGTCAGTAACGCGCGGTCAGCACAGCCGGTTCATACAGCTGCAGAGTTGTCGGTCCCCTCTCCGTTTTCGCCGTCTGCGGCTGGCGTCTCGGAATCCATCGCAGGCGTAGCGGCAAGCGCACCGGCGTCCGAAAGTTCGGGTGGGCAGGCCCCATTCTTCGCCGAGTTTTCCATGGCAAACAGGCGAGCGGCCCTACCCTCTTTCTTGCGAGGCTGTGGGGCTGTCACGGGTTGGTCAGTCGGGAATGCCGAGAGAGAAAGCTCGGCCCCTTAAATGCTTACCTCGGCCGTTCTCCTGCACATAGAAACGTCGAAGAAGCGAAACTGCCTCGTTACGGAGATAGCCGCCCTCGACAGGATAGCCGGGTTCTACGTTCCCTCCATCACCGTCGTCCTCATCCCGCGGAAGAACCGTTGCGCGGCCCCTGACGATACGACCGACATCGTGAGGGCCGTATCCATTCTGGTAAGGGCGATCCGACGGTCTGGGGACAGGTTTGGAGTTCATGTGAATCCTAAACACCCCTCCTGTCCCACCAAATTTGTCATTCACGGCGCCGAAGTAGACCTTCTTGATGCCTAGTTGGCGGAGAAGCGAGGCGCACATGACGCAAGGCTCGACAGTGACGTAGAGAACGCACTCGGATAGTATGGAGCGGTCGACCACGGGAGCGGGGTGGAGCTTCTGACCATAAGGATAGATATGGCCGTCCCGTGGATCTACCTCACCCCAGCTGGCATCGTCCAGATTTGGGCTAACGTGGTTTTTTCCAGCATCGTGCGGTTCCTTCCGGGAAAGCAGAGCAGACAACGCCATAAACTCGGCATGGCGAGTACCATTCCGGGTAACATTGGTGGCGTTCATTCCTCTGGCGACAACCCTTCCACGGCACACTAGAACACAACCCACAGGCGTTTCGTTGGTATTCAAAGCTAGGTTGCCCTGGACTATTGTTAGCAGGCCTACCGGGGTAGAAAACAGAGTGGACCGGGACGGGAAGAAGTGAGGGAGATGAGACGAGGTAGGCGCTAACTAGGTGCTTTTCTCGGGCGAATAACCAGAGTAATAGTCTAAATAGAGTCACTAGTGGGAAGAGTCGTGCTCGAGTCGAGTACATGGGCCAGAGAAAAGCCATCTCACCATATCAAGCGCCTCTTGCATAAATTTAAGGTGATATGCTCGTTCGGCTCGTTCCTCGTCCGTCTTGGGTTCGATCAACCCAGGTAGGGTAGGCGCCTGGTCATTGTGCGAGCGTCTACTGACGGGCGCGCGAGTAAGCGGAAGGGCAACGGCGACGGGGACAGGTGCTGATACCGCTCGGGCGTCGGGGACGGCCTGCGTAGTATCAACCTCCGGTCGGGTTGGGACTGGGACACCTGCCATGCCGGTAATGTCGTCAAGAGTCAGACGGGCCGTCTCGGTGCAGATCTTGTCGACCTGCTTGCTTTGGCATGTACCCTCCGCGCCAGCCTTACTGGTGGTGCTAGGTTCCGTGGTAGTATGTGGGCTGCCGGGACCCGTCTTCTGGTTCCGAGCCTTTCCTGCTACCGAGAGGGGGTCGAGGGCGGGTTTTGGAGGCGACGAACCCCTATTCCGGCCCGTCTTTCGAGACCGGGACCGCTTCCGATTCTTGGTGGGGGGAGCGGTGCCGTTATTGTCGCCCTGACTCGTAGCAGGCACACGGCCGGCTTGGGCTGGCTGGCCTGGCTGGCCTGGCTGGACTACACCTGTGGAGGCTGGAGTTGATATCCGACAGTGGCTAGCATGAGCTGTGTTTGCTGAGGCGTTGGGAGCGTCGGCAGGTGGAGCATGGGGGGCGATGGGCCGAGGTCCGTTGCTGTTGGGGCCGCCTCGCTTCTGGCCGCCGCGCTTCTTCTTAGATGAGGCCATGCTGCCGTCGCCGTCGCTGTCGTCACCGCAGTCACAGTAGTCGCTGTCGTCGTCTTCTCGGGGATAGTGTCGGGATATAGAGTGCCGGCCTTGCTCAAGATCCACAAAGGCGCTGTCGCCGGGGGGGGACTGCGAGATGGTAGGATTGGACGTCGATGGGGGTATAGAGGAGGGGGAGGGGGAGGGGGAGGGGTCTGGAGCGGGCTGCGTCAGGTGGGTGGAAGGCGATGTTTGCTGGGGAGGACGGGGCGGGTGTGGTTGGTGAGGTGGCCGCGGTTGGCTAGGCGAATAGCTGCTTTCACGGGCGTCCTGACGAGGGCCTTGACGGGCGGAGGTGAAGCGAGAGATGCGGGTGAAGAGGAGGAGGAAAGGCGCAAACAGCGCGTGCCAGAGACTCGACATGTAACCTGAGAATTTCTGTCCCTCCATCGTTCCTTGCTTTGCCATGCTTCCTCGGTTTCAGTTTTAGCTACCGCACCGGCACCTTAAGCTTTCCTCTTTTTTATTGTATCCCCCCCCCTCCTCTTCCTCCTCTCCCTCTTCCCTCCTCCTCCTCCTTCTTCCCGCCTCCGTGGCTGTCCCTCTTTCGTCTCGGCCTCGCGGCGACCTTCCTTCTTCTTCCGTCGCCTTCGCTCGCTGGCCAACAGCCTGCCCGCCAGCAAGCCCTCTTTACGAAGATACGCGCAATCGCCCACTGCGAGACTGCGGCTGTTAGACCCTCTGCTACACCCTAGTATATACCTATATCGGCAAATGCCCGCGTCACGCCGCCCGAGGACAGCCTGTCGAACCTGGCTAATGATTTACTACGCCAACGAATTCCGACCACGAGCGGGCGCCGCCTCCAGACATGCACACACTCGCGCTTGAGTCTTCTAACTTAACCTGCTCCTCCCCGTCCGAGCCACAAACCCGTGGGTTGAACAAAGTAGGTAGGTAGGTATAAAATTAGGCCGGCTAACTCTCCGAGGAAACCCAGATTCTCAACAAGGAGGTGGCTAGGAGACGGAGGCGCTTAGCACTTTACCGCACGTAGTATGAATGAACTCAGGCAGGCCAGGTCAGGTTGGTGTGGCAGCCTGTAGGTAAGTAGAGGTTGAATGTAGTTGCGGGCGAGAAATCAAACCTTAGCATTTTACGTTGGGTGGTTTTATATTTTCCTCTCCTTCGGTACGTACCTACCGGTTTCTCCATCAAGATATTCCCTGATTACCTAAGGCAGGTGAGCAGTAAGCCTTAGTGCGGCTGAGAATTTTCTACCTGCCGGCCCATTCAAGGCCAATTGCCTGGCAAAATCCCGGTCCCTTTCTTACTAACTGCTACGACGCAGGCACCTAAAGTACATCTTCTTGTTCAGAGGACTTCCCGTCTGTCGCGTACCTGTTCCAGGGTTTCTATGGACATGGATCGACCTCATTTGTGGCTTAGGCCCCTCTCCTCTCCCATTCGCCAGAGTAGAAAACGGCCAGGCCCGTATCGTAGTACAGCGCACGTTACAATATTTATCGTATTGGCGATTGGCCCTATGCAGCACGCGCTCACTCATCGGGGCGTATGCAATTCCGAAAGCGGTACGTGCATACCGTGTAATGCCGCTTTGTCACGGTACCCGCTGGTAGGTTAGGAGGTAAGGTACCTTACCTGCCTACAACCTCTCGGCATTCTCATGTGCTCAGGTACATGCATCGAGAATTCGCTCCCCCATCCAAGCAATTGTCAAGGTGGGTGCGAGAGCATTAATAAGCCTGGTCGGGTCGTATTATTGACCTATATACCTAGGCCCAGGGAGTACACCCTGGGCAAGAACACGTTGGTGCACGTGACCGACTCCTGACCAGCTTCTTCTGTTGTGTCCCACCCACAGCCGTCATCTGCTTAATCAGGGTATCATTCCGCTTGAGGAGCAGCGCCAATCCCAGGCCAGCTCCATATTACAACCATAAACAGGATAACCGAGACATGATACAGTTTGTCGTCATCGAGGTCTTTGATCAGGTCCAGCACCCTCCCTATACGGCAGCTCCCAACATCCACGCCGGCCGAGTTCCCCAACTCTTCGCTGCGCTGCATCCGCCAGATGGCGTTGTCTTTTCCGAGACGTAGCAGGTCTGAGAGTAGCAGCCCGGCCTTAGCCTGTCCAGGGCCGTGGCGGCGTGCTTCCCAAGAAAAGACCGAAGCTCTGCCGACCTAATCTGCACATTCCTCCCTGGAGTGGAACAGGTGAAGAGCAAAAGGTAAGATGCAACGACCAAGAAACTCCAGGTGATAGAAGTGCGAGTCGAAAGCTGCCCTGGCTTGTCGCCAGGTCCCCACCATGGGTGGAGAGGGATCGAAACTGTGGCCCCGAGAACAAGGAGCGCGAGCGAGCGGCTTATCGCGGCTAGAGATGAAAGCATCTCGTATGGAGAGGACGACGCGGCAAGGCCGGTTACGACGAGTAAACTCCCCTTCCTGCTGTACGGGTCCGTGGCATGGCTGCTCCGGATAGCCATCGACGTCGTACTAGAACCAATCTTAGTAGACGCTAGGTGCGTCGTCTTGAGAGATGGTTTGGCAAGCGGAACCCGTGATGAAGGGCCGGCTGGCGACGTGACTGCACTCGTCGTATAGTACTTCAGCGATGCTGAGAAGGATACCGGTTGTGTCCTGTGTCCGGGAGCACCCAACGCCTGAGAGATTCTTAGTGTAAGTCCATATAGCAACAATGACAAGCAACGTACCCGTCGTGATCTACCCCTCGCCCGATCTAGACTTGAACCTAGACTTGATGCCGATGTATTGTTTGCACCGGCAGTGGTTGCTGGGGTACGTGGGATTTGTTGGTTGGATAGGGCAAGGCCGGATCCAAGGTGGTTCGTCGACGACGGTTGCGAGCCTCTTGGCCCCTCCGATGCGTCTGCAGAAGCCGCAGGGTCATACGTGAATGTTTGGGGGCGGAATGCGTGATTTTCCGTCGCTGATGGTAGGCTATATCTATCCCGTGAGACTGGGGCAACTGGTCCCGATACGAACCTAGTCAGTCTGCTATCTCCGTATGGCATATCGGAGGAGATCTGGCTTGCTTGGCGATCCGAAATCTGGAGGCGTTGGGGAGAGTTCAGATTCGTCGGCGAATATGTTTCCTCCCGCAAGATGTGGCCGGCCGGTACGTCTGCTATGAATCGGGAAAGAGGCGAGCCGTCGGAGGGTGGAGAAGATCTCTGTCGGTAATAGTTGCTTGGTTGTTGATGGTAATGGTGTGCAGAATATTCCAGGCGGGATGTCGCTGCAACCTCTCTTGCCAGGCCAGGATCATCGTCGAGACACGTCGAAGAACCAGGTGAATAGAGGTTGAAGTCGGCGTATTCGGTGCCGATTTCACCCCCTGGTTGGAGGTAAGGTGGGAGCAGGTCCTGAGTTGCTGTTCCACCGGCGCTTCCCTCTGCGGCCTTGGCGCTAGAGGCCGAGTTGGGTGTGATTGGCTGGGATGACAAGAACGAGTTGTAAGAGGCGGGTGAAAGGTAGTTGGTAGGGTGGAAGATGTTGTAGTCGTACGGGATTGTGTCCATTGGCTCCTCGTAGTAGATGAATTCATCCCAGTCGATGCTGCCGTCGCCTAGTGGCTCGGGGGTGAGATAATCAAAGGAAGAAGATAATAATGACAGGTCAATGGGAGGAGCGGAGTCGGACGGAGCATACAGGGACGTGCCCAACTCCAATTGTGATGGCGCTGGAGGTGGTGCTGATACAGCCGCCGGCTTCTTCGCCTTCTTTGCTGTCTTCGCCACAGAAGTGCCTGCCAACCTCTTGTGGCTGGGGTCGCAGCGCACCTTTTTCTTCCTGCAAGATTCGCAGGCCTTGATGATTCGCATTAGGTGGGCATGGTCACGCTGCTCCTTGGTCTTGCAGCCGCGCGACGCCGAATTGGTGACATCCCTTCCATCTCTAGTCAGGATCTTCATTCCGGGTATGTGGGAGAAGTCCGTGGGGGAAGCGGCCTTCTTATACGAGGATCTTCGGGCGCTAGATTCGCTCAAGGAAGGAGAACAGTGGCTGCTCTGGGTCCACTGTCTCTCGGACATAATAGGCGACGTGAAGTTGGAGGCGTAGCCGGAGTCGACCATGGAGTCGACCGGAGATTCGGTAGTAGAGCCAAGAGCAGGGTAGACCATGAAGAACTTGAACAGCTCTCCAGTCGCGAGGGTGTGCTCAAAGAACTCCAAGGACACAGCAGCGCGCTTTTCGGAGATAGAAGCATCGCCAGGAACGTAGGCGTCGATCATCTCATCGAGCTGCTTGGAACCGAGGGCAGGAAAAAACTGCAGCGACTTGCCAATTGCCGGCTGGTGGACGGAGAAGCCCATCAAGGAATTGTTCTGAGGCATGCTTGGCACGGCGTGGCGATATCGCCCAGCACAGCTATCGGCAGGACTGTTGAGATGCAGGTAGGAGGCGTTCCTAGTTGAGCAGCCTCAGGCGAGCGGGAGTAGCTTGGTGGCAAGCACCGGGTTTCCCTGGTGGCCCCGGGTATTCGTTATCGCCAACTTCGAAAATCAGGGGCTCTAACGGGGATGGTACGGGAGCGGGTAGTCGCGTGGAGAAGTTTTGGCAGTGGGGATGGCCAGCCGTCAAGGCTGGGGAGAGAACGGGAGTGAGTGGGAGGAGAGGAAGAGCGGTGCGCGCCAGGACGCTTTGGATGGCGACGCCTAGCTCGGGGATGGCGATGAAGAGATGGGGCGCAGAGCGAGCGAAAGAGGTCCTCACGGCGAAGACGGGGAAAGGGGGATGGATAGCAGCAGGTGGGATTCCTAGCGAGATTGCTCTAGCGAGATTGCCTCAGGCTGGATGGGAGGAGAAGGGGAGAGAGAGGGAAAGAAAAAAGCGAGTTCCGGGGAGGGAGTCACAGGATGATATTTCATTGCGAGGTGGCCTCGGATTCTGACTGCGGTGATCGTGCAAAGCCTCGATGCGTCGGAATGGCAGAAGGGCGGAGCAGGGCAACCGGACCCACTCCGGCGAGGACGGCGAGGGAGTAGCTCGACGACGCCATCCAATCACGGCGGCCAATGCGCACAGATGGATGGCCTCGGTGGCCCCAGTCGAGAAGTACACCGGCGGCGATGCTGTTAGTGTTTTGCCGGCGACGGCGAGGTTAGCAGTAACAGCGCCAAGGATTTGTCCCAAGACGGTGGGAAGCGGACGCGTGGTGGCCTGAGGCAGCGATCGGCCAGACCAAACCGGTCGCCTTGACTCAGAACTGCTTATTGTGGGCCGCATGGGTCGCCAACGCTACACCTAGTACAGACGGACCCCGGCTCTTCTGGTATCAACAGTTCAGCACTCATATCAACAGGATCAACACCTCTCTCGCCTCTCCTCCACCAAGGTAAGGTACTTCCAGGGTCCAATGTGCCCCCTCCTCCCTCTCCATCCCGCCCTCCACACGCTTATACACACGCAATACCCTGTTTTTCTGCCGTCAGATAGGCCGGGGCTGCCCCATGAGTTCTCTGCTAATCCTCTCTCTCTCTCCTCAACGCCAGCCACATACCTACCTAGGTAGGTAAGTAGGTGTTATGTAGGTACTTATAGGTCCCTAGAAGGCAGATGTATTACTTAGCACCTACGTACCTAGGTAGGTGCGTAGGCGCTACAAAATGCGGCGGGCGAAAGGGAGGTAGGTACCCAGGCTGATATTTTGGGGGCCTTTAGGTACCTAGGTACCCGCTCAACTTATCTCTACTTAGAGGTGCCTAAGGTGGTAGGTAAAAGCACCTACTGAGTTACAGCGGGACGGAGCTTACGTTAGGCAGACATGGTCCCCATTATCATACCCCCTCCGCTGACATGCATCGACAACGGGAAGCTGACCCCACTAGATCTCTGTCCTATACATACGGGACGATCTCTGGATTCGACCGACGACCCTCCGGTACCCTCCCTCGCCGTGGCCTCCTACACGAGGCTACCTTCTTCCTAGATAGGTACCTAAGTGCGTTGCGGTGCCTACGCAGCGCGCAGGACGCATTCGAAGCTTTTCCCACAGGCAGGGTATCATTGCTCACAGGTGCCTGCGTGAGTAATCAATCGTCTGAGGTTGGGAGCTACCGTACTAAGTGCAATTTCCCATACGGCGCGAGCAATTTTAGCTCTGACTCAGTGCTGCTTGCAGGTGTTACGTAGTGCCTGTCGACGAAGGGGACGGACCGGCCCCCTTCCCTCACCCTCTCACTTTACCTCCCCCCCCCACGTTCTCTCTCCCTCTCGCTCGCCTCTCTCCCTCTCTCTCCTCTCTTGCTCTCTCCGCCTCTCTCTCTCAGCCCCCGCCCTCCCTCCTCTTCCTCCGCCTCTCCGAGTGTACCTACTACCTTACCTATAAGACAGGTGGTGGAACAACCTGAGGACATTCGAACCCGTGTGCTTCATGTGGTATAGGTAGATGCAAGTCCGTCATCTATCATCTATCATTGACTAGCAATCAAACCGGCACACCTCTTGCCAATTGTTGCCAAGAATGGGGCTTGCTTTTGAGCCCTCGACGAGGCCTACCCATGTAGACTGTAGACCCGACTCTGATCGGTAGTAGGTAGTGTGTAAAGAGGCGGAATTAGGAGCACGTGATAACTATAGGTACCTAACCTAATAGGTAAGTAGAGCTTCCTGGCCTACCTCCTAGCTGCCTCTCTTAGGCACATCTTGTACCAACCACCTCAGGTGCCTAGAAATTAGAATGGAAGATAAAAAGGTTTGGAGGTGGTAAGGATCGATGGGTGAAGAAAATCTAGTGCGTGTTTCAGCACTTGTGATGCTTCTCGGATCTGGAAAAGAAAAAGAAAAACATCTTTTAGAAATCTGATTCTCGTCCTGCTACGTTTTGCATGGCGACACCCAAGTCAAGAATTCGCATACCATGTTCTACCTATCTACCAAGGCACCGGCCATCCGTTAACGAGATCCAGTTCCAATCCCGCCGCAGTCCAACTCGACAAGAATCCTCTACCCCGAAAAGAATATAACGAAAAGTTCGTCGCTTGTCTTAACATCAAGAGAATATGGAGGGGAAATGGGGGTATATAACGCCGGGCTATGCGAACATTCCTCCTAACAAGATCTTCCTCGTCACATCGTCACTTTTTTTTAAAAAAAAAATCCGAAAAAAGCACAAGAAAAAGGGCGGGTGAAGGCCAGGGAGGAGTTGAAGAAACAAAAAAGAGAGAACGCCAAAGAGCTCATCTGACGACATCAACGTATACACGAGAAGGCATTCATTGGCTGGGATCGGGATTGGTTTGTCAAGGGCCAAGGTGCAAATCATCAGGACAGCGCAGTCCTATAAAGTGTGTACCCCACCGCGTGCTGCGACGCCAGGCATCCCTAGGTTCGGGGTCGAGCTTCGGCGCGAGAGCCGCCGTCCCTATGCATGTGCGAGTCCCTTTGCTGTCCGAGTTAGCGGGCCTCGGCGGGTTCCAGTCTCTGTCGCCATAAATCCCAGTATGAGCAGCCCCAATGGCCGCCAGCAGCATGCGTCCGCACCCGCGTCCGCATTTTTCTCGGAGAGAGATGGCGAACGCAACCCGGCGGCATACCGCCTTTCCCGAAAGAAGGCGGCTAGTAGCGATAGCATAAGTGGGAGTAGGTGGTTGATGGGTAGTTTAAGGTTAATGTGAGACAACATGTCCGCGCAAAGCCGGTAAGGCCCGGCCTTTGGCTGTGTGATAGCATACGGTACGTTAGCCCCCACTCCCGACGGACGTTCCTCAGCGCGGCGTCCCGGCGTGTGGGCATGTCGTCGGGAATCTGGTGGGCCGCTTAGGCGGATATCGGACGACGAATCGCTGCTCGTGTCCGAGTCGTCACGGTAGTGGTTTGAAAACTCGCGGAAGCTACCCGCGAAAGAGAACGAGGAACGCCCGCCGTTTAGGCCCCCCCCTCCTAGCCAAGAGTGGTTTCCACCCCCTTCCGGTCGTACGTTCCGAGAATTCCCAGCTTCGGACTCGCTTGACTGAGTGAAGGTTGGGACGGATTCCGTTACCGACTCGGCTCCCGTGGACCCGTAGTACCATCTCCGCGCGGAAGTAGACGAGCAGCCTGTGTTATCACAAGAAAACGAAGTAGACAAATCGGATTCGCATTGGGTTTGAGCGCCGCAGATCTCACACACAACCCGTACTGGCGGAGAGGCAGCGTCGAACTGACAATGCTTGGCTCGGAAATGGTGAGGCAACTCCCAGATTGGCCCCGTCCAGGAGCAGCCGGTCGGCGAAGTCTCCGACGCGGAATCGACAGGGCCCTTGTACTCGCATTGCCATCGGAGCGGGTATTGCTGCATCTGGCTGCCAATTTCGAGGAGCCCGTACTGGGTGTATGACTCTGGCGACTGCGAGGACCCCAAATTATTCCCTGGATAGTAAGGTTGCACGGGGGGATGCAGTATATCGCTGCTGAAATGAGGCGAGTCGAGATTGAACCTGGTCAGCATGTTCCGGAGGCTAGGACGGACAACGCCTTCGCAGTCGTCACCCAACGAACGTGACATGTCGCCAAAGTCATTGGCGGTAGTGTCTATATGGGGTGGCGCCACCGCCCCGCCACCGATGCCGAAGGTCTCCTGGTTCAGTGTCGGTTCCATGAGCGCCCGCTGCGTCACGTCACTGGGGAAGCGGGGCCTGTCGCGAATGGCGGATAGCTGGTGGAAGGTAGCCTCATACCCCTTCTCTAAAAGACTGAAGTCGTGACAATCACACTAGGGGCTTGTCAGCGCTCGGCTGTGGCACGTTCGTAAGGGTAAGGATTTGTATGAATCCTCCTACCGTGGTCTTCTTGGCGCGGTGGTGCGGGCAAGCAAGCTTAAGCTTCCGCTTGACCGCTGTCCTCAACCTTGTCTGGGCCTCTAGAGGCCCTTTCCTCTTGCCTCGGGGCTTTTTGGATCGGTTTGTGCCCGTGGCCATCGCTTCATGGGCACAAGGACCCCCGGGCTCATCGGAGTGCGAAGGGGCGGCGCTAGCAACGGAGGGCGCTGTCGAGGGCAGCCGCAGGCTTTGCTGGGAGGCGAGGTGGGTTTGCAGGGAAGCACGCTCGTGTGCCCTACGGATCTCATTGTATGCCTTCTGGTTCTCGGGAGTGGGCTCGACAACAATACTGTGCGGTTCGGAGGTCTTGCACGATTGGACAGGCAGACCTGGAGGTATTTGACCCCGAGCATGGGATGACATGGCGAAAGACAGCGGTTCGCGATGACGGCCTGTTCGTTACGCACTGGCGTCGGGTCCGGGGGAAGGGGGGGGGGGTGGGGGGACCTCGCTGATAGAATCGCGGGCAGAAATGGATGGCGGGGTGCAAAAAGTGACGGTTGTTCAAGGCAGCTACGGAAAATCCTGGCTATGGGGAAAAGAGAAGAAATAAGAATGTAACCGTCAAGCTGGGGGGGGGGGCCGAAATTGCGAAAGGGACCGATGGGAAGCTCGAGTTGGCCTAGAAAGCCATCGAGGAAGGACAACTGGGAAGGATTTGAGAGAAGAGAGGGGCGCCGCGACGAAAAGAGGAAAAGAGAGAGAGAGAGAGACGCGGAGAGGCCTGATGGCACTGCCGCTGCTCACTCGCAGCAGCAAACTCGGTCCTGGCCCTGGTTGATTTTTTGAGGCTGCTCAACAAGCCACTCAAGCACACACCCTATAAGCTGCATAGAATCACCAGAACCACTACGGTTTTTTTTTTCTCTCATGCCAGCAGCTCCAGCAGACGAGAGGACCAACCACGGTAGAACAGCTCATTGATGCGTCGCCTCTTTCACATCCTGTTGTTTTTCTTTTCTTTTTCTTTAGTTTTCCCCCTCTTTGCCTGTCTACCTATCCGGATAGGTCGACGACGTCTGACCAATATACATACACATGTACTTTATGTATGTATGTATATATATAGTAGCTCATACGTTGCGTAGATTTGGCCGGTTAACAGAATCTCCTCGGTTCAACTTTCGGTGAGCGAATGCAGGCTGCTTTCCACCAGACCAAAACTCATCTGCTTGGGCGGGAGGGGAAGAGAAAAAAGCCATTCAGGCTTCGAGGTCGAAGATGACATGACAACTCGTTCGGTTCTTGTTTCTTCTTTTCCTTTCTTGACCCTCGCCATTCTCTTGTCAGATAGCATCGCACGCATCCCCACACCCTCCACCTTTGACATCGGACAACTCGAACGCGACCGAGGGCATCGAACTGGATAGATATGCGCTTACGGGCTCGGAGGCAGTTAGCGCCATTCCGTGGCAAAAAACTCATGGCGCACCGATAGGCGTCTGTTGACATTCGGGCCACACCTGTCAGCATACGGGAGCAAAGGCCTGTGTATTCTGATTTCCCACCAGGTCTGAAGTGGCACAGCCCACGCGCCCGTTCGCGTGGGCGAAATCCAATTTACCAGGCAAATTCCAAATTCCCTTCACCCCGTCGGTCAAAGTGTCTTGGTCGGCATTGTGGTTCGCCCCACGTCACGATCGCACTGGGACACGAGTACGTCAATCGCATGCTTAGCTTCAGGCGCATGCTCATCGACAATACTGTTTCCTACGAGCCACCCGAAAACACCTCGCCGGAGCGCTAATTCGCTCATCCGCACACATTTTTTGGTGGGCGAGTAAACTCAAAGAGATCATGAGCCTCCCTGCTCCACGGCCCTCCGTTTGCCCTCTTGAATCCGGTCAGCGGTGCGATGGCTGACTGATTCGCCCGTCCTCCCGGCCTCGCTACCGCCCTATTGTCTCCACGCGTCCTAGGCGGCACGACGGTCCCCGTAGTCGATTCTGGCGGCAGAGGACATTGTGGGACCTGACCGGCAGAATCTGAAGGCTTAGCCGCTTTTTTGCCTCGAGTCGCAGGGTTCGCTATGGGCTTAACAGCTGGCGGCGGCTGCTGTCGCTGTGTCACCGATGCACTTTGAGGAACCTCAGCCTGCATATCTTCTACCGCAATGACTTTGACTGATGCCGCGCCAATCTGTTTCTGCGCGCGGGAAGTATACTCCTCGATGTGAGACACAGTCATATTACCGTGGTTCTCGACAAGTCTTGAGGCAGAGCTATCGTGTAATTCTGCTTTTGCCATGGCGGTAGCTCTATCTTGATATGGGCCCTTTTTGGCATCGAGAACGCTGTTCACAATCGTGACATTGGCAAGGTCCGATTCTGGCGCGGGCGGCTTGGCTGAAAAGGGCCCGATTGGTGGGGAGTCGCGAGCGGGACTCGGTCCGTCGCTTTCGTTACCGTGCGTTTTTGGTTGAGGCGCAGAGGGAGATTCTGTTTCTTCCTCAAAAATAAACCCGATGATTTCCTTGCTGCGAATACCCTTGCGGCCTAGGTTGGCAAGGCGGGGAGGAGCAGGGGTATCGTTCGGGAAGCTGAATTCATCACCTTCTGGTTTGCCTGGTTCGGCGTCCTTCGTCTCTGTCGTCGGGTGAGAAACTATGTCCTCAGGTTGAGTATGTTTAAGTCTGGGCAGATGCTTACTTCTAGAAGATCGAGTTGTTCCGACTTGTACGGCATTCTTTTGCCTCAATGTGGGTCCCAAGGCTTGTCCATTATTTACTTCGTAGGACCCGTCGTGAGCTTCCATCTCTTCGGGAAGATCTCTTTGCGATTTACCATTGCGATAATTTCCTATCAGTATAGATGGGATATCCGAAGTCCGGTGCGAATCCCCAGAATCGGTACTTCTCCGGGTCGACTGATTCCGGTCGTCCATTCGACTCTCCGTGGTTTGTGGTTTTGACAAACTGTCAGCATTAGAGTTTTCTGAAATCATGAGCAAGCCTCGTTTCTTCCTCGGCCTGATGCGTAGTTCCGTCCTAGGCTCGTGGGGATGCTCCCCCAGGAATGGGTTCTCGCGCTCCGTACCAACGCCCAGCTCTCGTGTCGTACTTTTGGGCTTGAACCCTGAAAGGAGATCGCGGTTTTGAAGCAACGCATCAGTACCAACTGCGAACTGAGGCTGATTGGCACCCCTTTGCTTCGAAGCAACCTCCGGGGACGCATCATTCAGCGGCTTGCATTTACCAACCGGTATAGATCCATTTATCGTCTCCTCCGCTTCTGGGAGCCGCGGACTTAGGCTCGCCGACACAACCCGTTTTGAGGCATTCTCGATAGCACGTATTTGCTTTTCTTCCTCTTGTTTCTTCGGTCTCGTGGAGCCAGTGGTGGGATTCCGACGCACATCATGGGCAATGCGGCGTATTGTGGGCGGGGATCCGGTCTCGATCCCAGGTGCACTCTTCGCCGAGGCAGTTGGAAATAGCCGCGGGTTTGAGGGCGCCGTCCTAGGCGCAAAGGTCTGCGGCCTAGCTGGCGAGTCCAGGGTCGTCCTAGGTGCTACTCTAGGCGTAGAGTCCGCGCCGTCATTACAGCGACTCGGATCGGGAGATTCTGGGGCTTGGCTTTCCGCGGGGGTAGATGATTCCCTTCCCAAAGGTATCTTCCGTACCGACGGCGTGCTGGAAGGTGTACCGGACAATGTCAGTGTTGCGCCAAACAAGCTCTGAGCATAGCCGTTCTTGCTCGGCGGAGACACGTCTCGCCTCCTCCTTTTTGCCGGGTGCACACTGTTATTTCGCGGCGACTCGGCTGGTTTCTGCCTCTCCTCATATGGAGACTCGGTAGGTATGGAGGCACGGCCATGGTGTCCAGTAGGTGTGCCGATCAGTTGGTGGAGAGGCTTGTGCCTCAGCTGAAAGTGAGGGGCGTTGGCATGCGGCGCGGCTATTTCCAGGGCGGGCGCCCGACGTGCAATCGCTGCCAACTGCCTCTCCGCCTTTTCTTTGGCCCTCTTGTCAACGAGCTCGGACAGGTCTTGATCCCGGCTGCCGGTGCATTCGGCTACCTGAACAACGACGCCCCCCCTTTCAAGCTCGAGCTCGTCGCCCTCACCAAAATCGTAGTCCTCGTGCCAATGGGTATCCCCTACGAAGTTGCCCCGGTCATCGTAGACCATGACGCGCCGGTTGAAGGCGTGGTACTTGAGCCTGCCATCCTGCCACCGTTTCTGCTTCCTCCGGAGGTCCCGTGTGAAGAGACAGACAAATTCGAAGACGGGAGCGGTGCTACCGGGAGCTTGCTGGTTCGAAGGTGAGGAGCCAGGTAGAACCGGCCCGGCTGCAGCCATGGTCATCGATAGCTACCCGGATACAACGGCAGGATTGGGAAAAGGAAAAAAAGGCGAGCACAGTTAATTGATAAAACGCGCTGCGTGTGTTGCCTTAGGTAATGAAGGGCTCTTGGTAAGCCCCACCCGGTCGGGGAAGCTGCGCGTGTCCTCCCACGCTCGCAATGACGCGCTAACACGTGCTGGACACACGAATTTACATGACTAAGCGGAATGGGTACGGCCGCAGGGTAAAAAAAGAACTTGCCCTGGCAAGGTTAATGGTGTGTTTTTCCCTTTTTCCCAATCCTGCCATACCTGCAATTAGGTATCCAGGTACCTCTCCGGTACCTCTCAGGCACTCCTGTAGGCACTTCTACTAGAGGCTAGTGCCCATCAGTGGGAGGTACCTAAGGTATCAACAAGAAATACCTGGCGTGTTAGGGCGTGTAAGTGAAACGACCTTAATTTGTATTACCTATAGTATGATGCCTTACTCATAGATTCACCCATCCTATAGGTATTAGGAGGTACGTACGCAACCCAGGCCTACCATAAGCTACAGGCTATCCGCTACGTACTGTACTGTACCTACTAAGGTACCTCCTCTATATCATGGAATTCGGTAACCATCCCCATCTTACTAGGTACCTGCCTACCTCCTGCCTAAGGTACGGAACGGGTATAGAGAAGGTAGGTTAGGTACCTAGGTAGGTAGCATATGGAGGTAGTAGGTACTTACCCACGGCACTGCCTCCCCGATACTTCGATGTAATAACTTAGGCATCTTACCTGGATGTGGGTAGATAACCTAAGGTATGTAGGTACTGTCAGGCGCTAAATGGAGAAACGTAAAAAGAGGTGGCTTCTAACGAATAGCCTACCTCAGGTAGTAATTCCTCGATCCCGCCTCTTTATGTATTGCCTAGCCTCGAGTTCCATCCTTAAAATGCGCCCGGACAGGGCCGTTCCATAACGCAATCGGTAAGGCTATAGGTAGGTACAACGTATCTAGGTAGAGCAAGTCGCAGTCGTCCTGTTGGATTCGCGGGCGAGAAGAGCGTACCACAGCCTCAACCCAACTGCAAGCCAACCTCCCTCAGGCTCTCCCAGGCTCCCCTCTCCGTACGACCCATCGGAGGTGTGTTGCGAGAAATATGTGCGGTGACGTAAGTGTCACGCCTATCGTTATCGTCCGGCACCTCGGGCGCCTCCTTGAACTAGCAGTAGGTAGGTAGGTACCTACACCTAACCTCAGGGCCTAGCTTTTAGAAACATGCCCGCCCCACGCCGGCTTATACTGCTCTATCTGTGTCTGCGTAGGTATGTAGCCTATAAACATACCTAGGGTTTTATGTGCATTGTAGGCACTTCCGTTAGGAGGTAGGTACCTAAGGTTGCATGTGTACGAAAGCAAGAGGAGGTAGATGTCCAGGAGCGTAGGTGGATACCTAGGTACCTCTCGTCGTAGGGAGACAGGCAGGTAGGTACATGCCGTGCCCCTTAGTCGGATCCATCGAACTTCCTATCTGCAAGCCCTGGAGGCAAATCCCACCCGCCCGTGCCGCAATGGGTTGGTGCTGTGTACCTCCGCCCGGATGTACCAGTCGTGAGAGATCACAGCGGAACGGTACCCCCCTGCTAAGAATTAGTATCGTTCTCAATCCGACATCCAAGTCCGCAACTTGGAGCTACCCATATTATTATTATCATCGTTCATTAGGGGCAATGCGTGCCGAATTCCATCGCATCCCAGCATCCCGGTAAAGCGGCGACCCCCTCCACCCACCCCGTCCTCCCTCTTCGCTTCTTCGACTCCTGCCGCCCTTAACTAAGTATACATTACCTGCTCTTCCTTCGACCCTTCGTATCACACGCACGCACCCCCAAGCAACAGAGAGCGGGAGAGAGCGAGACACGGGGAGAGAGGCATAGCCCGCACCGCCTCGTAACACCCATAGTACCCATCTACCAGCTTCGAGACAACATCCTCCGATCGGGAACTGTAGCATCTGGTACATAAAAGTTCTTGCCATGCTGGTTCTTGAAGCTGCCGGCCCCGCGTACCATTGACCTTCCAACCCCCCGCCATACGTTCTCATTGATTCCGAGTCCCAAGCCGCCGGCGATCATCTAGATACGACGTCGGATCTGCCAGGTTGCCCGAGATGCAGTCTATGCAGCGGCAGTTCGGAAAGCTGCTCCATAGAGCCCCCGGGGACAACGCCCGGGTCGCTGTCCTGTTGAACGATTACGAGGATGCCGACAGGCTTCTTGCCAAGGTATGGGCTCTCGAGACAGACCCGTCCTCCCGTTTAGCATGATCCGGACGTCCGAATGCCAAAACTTAACATTGCGTGCCCTTAGATCGTCGAGCAGACCAAGTCGTGGCGCGAGTCCTGGATCAGTCTGGTAGTGTCGCAGTTGGGCATTGTCACCGAGTTTGATAGCCTCTGGGACCCCATCGTCGGCGCCTCTGACGGTCACGGAAAACCAGCTGCACCCACGCCAGAGCTCCAGCTCGAACGGACGTTGAAGTTGAAGGAGGCATACACCGAACTAAAAAGGGAATTGCTCGATGAGGTCGGCCAAATCGAATCCACCATAATCAGACCGGCCACCGACGCTCGCGATTGCATTGCTCCGTTGCGGAAGACGATCAAGAAGCGGGAAAATAAGAGGCTAGATTACGAGAAGTGTCAGGATAAGGCCAACAAGCTGCAGAGGAAGATGTCACGCACGCCCAAGGAGGATGCGTCCCTAGCGAAGGCCGAGGACGAGGTTACGCGGGCAGCTGAGGTGCGTGTTCCAGGTCCAGCATTGGTAGGGTGGAGCGGGCAACATCAGACTAATCAGCACCATAGGAATTCAACGTTGCGGACGCGCATCTGAGGGAGACTTTGCCGCCCCTCGTAGCGGCAACATTCAGTATTATGCCACCGCTCCTAGCAGCGGTGGTGTTGATCCAGAACCGGTTGCTGGGGCTGTATTATACCACTCTCCACAACTACTGCCAGGATTATTCCTTCCCGTCACCACCTCCGCCGATGGAAAGCGTGACATCCGCGTGGTCGGCCGACTATGAACCCGTCAAGCGCGAGGTCGAATCGATAACGTGTATCGCATCGGGCAAGGCTGCCAGGCAGCCAATGAGATTACCGGACGACACGGGCAACACGGGGGACCGGAAACCATCCGCCTCATCTATCACGACCGAGAGTGGGCTCCGCCGTTCATCATCCGGGCTCCTAGGAAGCGGCAATGATACCCCGCCTCCGACAGGCCCACGACCAACTCGCATCCCTTCGTCCACCTCGATATCGTCTCAAGCCAGCACCGGAACGCAGTCGAGACCACCACCTGCTAGTTACGGCAATCATCTCACCCCAACCGATTTCACTACCGCGTCCCGGCTCGCCCAGGCGCCGACACCGTCTACGTCGCCCGGCTCCACTCAGCCACGAGCTGATTACTTCAGCAAACCGTTGAGCGCGTCGACTTCGTCAACTAGCATAGCCTCCATCGCGGCTAAGAAGAAGCCGCCGCCGCCGCCGCCGCCTAAGAAGAATGGGCTGGGGCGGCCCGACGAGTTCGTGATTGCCCAGTACGACTTCATCGGACAGGGTGCCGGCGACTTGTCCTTCCGCGAGGGCGACAGGATCAAGGTCGTCAAGAAGACGGATACGGATCAGGACTGGTGGGTCGGCGAGATGAACGGCGTCCGGGGCAGCTTCCCGGCGAATTATTGCAGGGGAAAGTAGCCTTGTTTAGGAGGGGTGAGGGTTTTCACTTGTGGAGGGTATTTATAGGGCACTTGAACTTTTCGGGAACAATCGTCACAATCTAGAGACGCGCTCTGTCAATTCCGGGGCTTCGCGCGGTGCCCGGTGCGGACTCGGTGGGCCATAGCCAGCCCGGGCATTGTCGCGACGGCCGCAGGCGAGGTTGAAAATTTTGGGTTACCCGAAAGCCTTCAACGCCATCTACCACCATCTAGGGTCCCGAGGGCGCGGCACCGTCGGGAATAGGCCAGAATTGGAGCTAGACTCCGAGCTCGCGCGGGCGACACGAAATATGACTCCGCTGGTCGCTGAATATTACGGGTAATAGGTAATTTAGAAGTCAGCGAACTTCTGGGATCTGATTTGGTAAAAAAAAAACGGATGGGAAAAACCCGAACTTCTTCCCCTTATCCCCCCCCACTCCTTAACGGCAGCTGCAATACCCCCCCTTCCCCCGGCCCCCCCCCCCAAAATGAGTAGAAGACGAGAAGAAGGGAGGAAAAAGGAAGGAAAAGAAAATATGGAATAGGCTTAGACGGATTTGCGTGATAGGGATTTCTTTTACCTAGACGGCCCCCCGACTTTAGTTTTGGTTTTCGTGTGTGTGTGTGTGTCTTATCTCTACCGCCATCAGTAAGGAACTGGACAGGGCGCCGTACCTACGGTACCTCGTCGGTAGGGCACATGTCAGAGCTACGGGGTTAGGGGTTAGGCGGGTAGAGCAGCGGTGTAAAACTCGGGGCGACGCGTTTTCTCTCTCTCCACAAGCATTTGGGTTTGTGTATTATGCCCGTCTGTCTGTCTGTCTGTACACATAGCTGAGGAAACGAAAGCAAGAAAAAGGCACCGTCATAGTACTACTGCCTTAGATACCTAGCTACCTACCTACCTATTTCGCTGGCCGCTGAAAAACCGCAATGCGCGGCCAGCTGCGGCCAACCGTTCGCGCGGCTGAGAACGGGTGGTAGGTATTTACGGGCATAGGTACCACCTACCTACATACATTCGTACCTCCTATTGTGAGATTGTATGTTTGCCCGCACTATACTATACTTATACCTGTTAATGAAGCCTTCCCGCCCCCCGCCAGCACAAGTGTGGTGTGCGAGCCTAGAGAAACAAGTTACATTACCTACTACCCGTCCCGGCCACGATCCCCGTCCGCAGACTGTTGCGCAAAACGAAGCTCATTGAGCTGATGCGTAATTAAGCTCATCCATAATATTGGTTTCTGGTTGTCGGCCTTTCGAGAGCCCTTCGAGGCAACCCCTACCAATACAGGCTCTGTCGGTGGCTGCATAATTACATAGGGGGTAGGTTGTGGTGCGTAGTCACGTGGCTCGCGGTAACCATCATCAATAAGGCCCCGGATTGCCCACAGGAGTCGTGTGATTCTCTTCTACGTACGAGTATGTACTACCCATTCTGCTAATACTACAGCCTATCCCAATAGATCCCGAGCCCCTCGTATAGTCTACCCTGCCTCTCGCATGTTACTCTTTCCTATATTTTCTTGTCTTGTCCTCCTTCAGTCTTCTGCCTCTCCACGGCCGCGTCTCGCATCCTCCATCCGAGAGAGAGACACAATGAGGTGGCATTGCTAAGCTTGAATTAGCTCGCTTCTCCCGGTCTCCCATCTCCTTTCCGAGCACCCTTTCCCATACCCAAGCCACGCCAGTCAATCTTTAGAGTTACCCATTTACCTCGTGAGGGGCAAAGTCACGGTGTGGGAAGAGTATAAGCATGGTTTCGCGAGTATCAGATCGCCACGCAATCGCTGGCACCTCGCCCAATTCCTCCCGCCCGTCCGGGGGAAGAAAAGGTTGTGCAAGGGTAAGCATATGACCCAGTCTGAATAGGATGTCGGGTATCATTGTAGATGGAACAAAGGGGATAGTTGCGGCCCGGGGGGGTGCTTGTACCCAGGTATAGAGAGGTTGGGAAGGCCGTCATTCGAAAGGCGAGTCATCCTTTCCCTTCTTTTTTTCCCCCTTCTTCCCTGCTTGACAGTGCGTCATAGAATGACCAACGGTCGACGATGGGGAATGGGGCAGCACTGCAGGTGATCGACTTGGTGACGCCCCACACAGCAACCCCGTGGACAGGTGGGCAGCGGCGTGTGCTGTTCGCCATTGGCAACCAGCCAGCGCACCTAGAACGAGCTGGGGCCTAGCTCGACAGGTGGCGAAGTTGCACCCTCTCGTCGTTTCTGTTCCTCCCGGGCTCTGATGGCGCGGCTAATCTCTTCGATCTGTGCAGCGTCTGGCAGTCTTCGTGCACCCAAATAGCCATCCCCTGGGCCTTCCAGCTCCATGGGCGTCACGGGTCCGGGGCTTCCCAAGGGTGCTAGTCTCGGTTTGCCCGGCCCCGACACGCTGGTAAATCCAATCGCCCTCAGCGAACTCAGAGTTGCCGCGCTCACGTTGCCGCCGTTGAGGGCCAGCGACGCTTGCGCAATCATGTCGCGTTGATACTGCTGCAACCTGCGCTTCGCCTCAGACTCGTTGCGTGAGGGTCCTAGCGGAATTGTCGAAGCGTCCCTGGCAGTGAGTATCTGGCTCTCCGACTTGGATCCTGTCGGAGCCGCAAAGTTCGACGTTGGCGGCCGGCCCTGTTTCCGGCTCCTCTTCTCCTCCTTCCTCTTGATGTAGTTGGTGGGGTAATACTTGCCCATTGGCAGAGAATTCTCCTGGGTTCCAGTCGGTATGTAGCTGGTAACAGGAGTACTAGACACCGTATCCAAGGTTCGCTCCATCGATCCCGTAAGTTTCGAAGACCTAGTTTGTGTAGATTGTCCTGCCACGGCGATGGGGTTCGCAGCCGAGGGGGTGGTGCCCGTGGCCGCTTGGGCGGGTATGGCGCTCTCCTTAGGAAGCGAGCTTGACTGACTGGCACGTTGGATAGACTTCATCCGCGCCTCGGAAGCGTCCAGCTGGAATGGGTGAGGGCGGTAAACTCGGGTTTGGTCCTCGTGTAAGGGGAAATAACCGCTGCGACGATTATTCGGTCAGCCAGAGCACACTCGTACGCATTCATTCAGACAGGACATACCCGGGAAGATCGCCACGCGCAGAGAGCGGCGGGGGCGGAGTATACACAGGAGCGCTGCTACCTTTCTTCGTAGCGGGCAATTCAATAGCGATGGGTCGGGCACGCGCAGGCGTAGACTTGGAAGGATCGAAAAAGGGCAGGTCTTTATTCCCCGAGTCAGTTGGGACATTTATCAGCGTGGCTTATGACGCAAGCAGCACATGGAACCTAGCTAATTAGAATAATAAAACGCACAGTGAGTGGCTCCCGCGACCTTGTCGCAGGTGACCAGAGAAAGGCGTGCCGGTGGATTGTGGGGGAGGGCATGTTTCAGAAGCCTTTAAGCAGAAGGGGACCAGGGGACTTTCGCCGGTGGCCAACAAGCCAACTGGACCCTTTTCGGGGTGCCCAAGTCTACCCAAGAGAGAACAGCCCAAGATGCGCCGGGGCGGGCCCTACATAGAGGGGGTGGTAAGGGGAGTGGAGAGGGAAGAGGGAAGACGAATACATCTTACTGGCCTCTTTTTCTTTCTGGCGTTCACTGCTGCTGGTCGCGCCACTAGCGGCGCTTCCACACCACCAGGCAGGGTGGGTTCCTCCATACGTAGAATACAGGGCGTGTCGGAAGCGCGTGTTGTGCTCGCTTCCGTCCTGTGCATTATAGACCCACAGGAGACGAGAAACCGGAAACCAAAGCCTTGGTTTCGGCCAGAGAAGACGCGGAGAACCCCAACTTCAACCCCCGAGGCAGAAAAGAAAAGCAAACGAGATCTAGAGTAGGGGCAGCAGCCGGCAACGGCAACACTTGAGCCTAGCCATCAGGTCACGTAGCCCAGACCATGTTAGGTAACCTTGCCCAACGCACTCCGCACAGGTAGTGGAAGCACGAAGGACTTCGGTTGCCGAAACATTTGCCCCCGGACATGCGAATCGAACTGGCACGGCCCATGACCGGCAACGAGCAGCGGGGCAAACAGAGGCCATCAAGCGGGCAATAGAAAATATTTCCTAGCGTACCGTTGCTGGACTTAAGGCTCGGTAGAGAGCCGAACGGCTGATGTTGCAGACTATCCGCCGGCGGATTCGGCGACGGTCTCGTTGAGAGGACAGCGTCGTCCGGCCCGATATCTGGCGAAGAGAGCGGCGACGCTTCGGATGAGTTCGACATGGTTCTCGCAGGCGGAGGTCGTCTTTTCATGGAAGACAGATACGAAGCTGGCTTGAATGAGCGGCCAAGGCCTGCCATGTTATCGCTGCTGTCCCCTCGGCCGCAATCCGCCAATCCACCCCGACAGCCGGCCGCACCAGCGCGTAAGTGTGGAGGATCTGGTACGCGACGAGACAACACGGTCAGCAAGGGTTATTCAATTCGAGATGGCAAGCGCAGGCTGGTCAGTGGCCGCACAGGTAGATAGACAGACTGAACGAAGAGGAATTTAGGGGCATCGAAGCCGGTCGTCAGGCAGGCCGTCGTCCACACGCTGCGGCAGACATCAGTGCTGAGGTCGGCCTTGGTTCCCACTGGCAACCTATACTGGCGGGTTTCGCAGCCAATTTATCCCTTGTCTGACCGGCCTTGGTGTAGAATCTATGACAGAAGAGTGCGTGCGTGTGTGCTTGTGGATACGACACAGAAGCGGCACTACCCCAAGGATCGTCGGCTCATCGCGGTGCTTGATCGGAATCCAGACAAACATGATGATGGCAACGACCTGTCGAGGAGGGGATAGACAGAAGGACGGGTGTTCTACAAGGGCAGTCTTACCTTGGCGCGGCTGCTGGTGGCGCTACGTTATGATGAGCGTGAGGGTTGATGCCTCACCCCACCGCATGCAGAAGAGGGCGAGTGGTGGTCAAAACGTGCTTCTCGAATCCCGATGTGATCTGTCGTCGACGGCCCGTCTTGGGCAGCGTGGCGCGGACTGGCGTGCCGTAGCCTGCAAGGCCGGTATTCGACGTATCCACAGACGATTTGATAAGAGGTCCGGACGGACCAACAGATGGCGGGTGGACAGATAGGGGAATGGGGAGAACATGCACGATGTTGACCGGCTGCCTCCTACTCGCGGTCGACCTTTTAACTCGCCGCGGAGAGTCAAGCCCGCGGCATCTGATGCGGAGTCCGGGCTGCTGCGGGATGTTACGGCTATACTGAGCGCGGATGTCCCCTAGCCATTGGTTGCGGGAGGTGTGGACGGGATAACGAGCGTGTGGGCGTCGGAGTGAACGAGAGAGGGAGCGGGCGAAGAAACGAGCGAGCGAGCGAGCGGGCGATCAAGCTGGTGAGGTGCGCGCGGGTGGGCTCGAGTTGCGTGCGTAAAGCGGTGGGTGGTATGGGGTGTAAGAATGGATGGCGTGTGGTAGATGGTAGGTAGGTAGGTAGGTAGGTAGGTACCTCTGGGCAGGTTAGGGGTCGGGCTTCGGGTCGTAAGGCGTGGAAAGACGGATAGATGTACATGCATACTATTATAGGTAGGTATATCGCGGGCATGCAGGTGGTATATATCCACCCACCGAACCGAACCGAATCTACCTTAGGTACCTGTTAACCTATAACTCCCTCCTCTTAATGTCTGATGATGTCTTGGGGGTGTATGTAGTATTGCGTTCGCTGCCTTGGCTGTAGACCCGAGGTCTGTCAATCTGCCTAAACCCATTCATCCCATCCATGTCTGGGAAATACCTGGCTACCCGATCCACTGGACTTGGTGTGTACCTAACAGGTAGGTACCTAGGAGGTGGGTAGGTACCTAGGTAGGAGGTATGTATGCATTTGCACTGATTATAAGGCAAGCGAGACGGGAGAGGGTGCCGCATTGACATAGTACCTAGAACGGAGAATTGCGCTAGGTACTAATTTACTGCGCTAGCGTGTGACCGCACATCGGTAAGAGGTACCTAATAAGTGAGATCCGTTATCCATGACTGGTAGCCCCTTGAGAGGTTATTCCTTCGCACCGCTTATCCTGCGTATAAGTCAAGTTCTCCCCCCCTCAACAGGTATATATAAGAGGCAGCTTGCGACATGTCGGGTACTTGAGAGGTACCTACAGCCAGGTACATAGGTACCTACCCGTTTAAGTGTTGCAGGATTAGGTACCTCCTACATAATATATATCAGGCACACTTATTGGCACCGGCACCTGCCAGGGTGATGGATGGATGACCTTCTTCTCGTCGTGCCTTATAGGTCAGCATCCATCTCTCTCACCTCTCTCATTACAGAATACAACCCGCCTAGAAGCTTTAGGGGGCTGCCTCTCACATACATAGGTACGCCTAGCATGTATCTCACGTCGGTCAACCATGCCTCTTATCGCGAAGAACAGCCCGGGGGCAACAGAGAGAGTAAATATGCGCCTTGGGTACGGATGTAAATGTCGCGTACCTTAGGTACCCACCTCTCTCTTATACGCGCCGTGGTATTCCCGATTCGTCACGTCTTGCGCCAGATGGTGCCGTGGCCTGCCCTGCTCTATCATCTACCTATGCATCTGTACATGCATGCATGTTATATATGTTCTCTCGTATGTGCTACTACGTATGCATGCATGTCTATACCACCTTATAGACACCGTCTACTACCCTCCGTTCCCTTACGCATGCTGGTGTGTATGGCGATTACGTCACACCAACTCGGCTCACAATCCATCCTTGGCCGGTATTTATTTACCTGCCTAACCATCCGTCTCGGCAAGGCTACTCGAAGCCATCGACAGATGACGATTCTCTAAACCGCCCTAACTCCGGGATATGCTGTCGGTACGGCCTCGGATCCCACATTTACTTGCCTTCGCCATCCGGCATTGTGCCGTGGATCGCCCGAGATGACTGTGGTACGGGGGAAACCCTACGGCAGACGGTGGCTGGTGGGCGGCAGGGCAGCCTGCTGTCAGGCTTGCAGATCGTCACTATCCTAATTGACCGTCATCAACTCGCCTCCGTCATAATCCTCGCACAACATGTGGCGTCGTGATATCTGTACACGTATAGATGCAGGTATAGTAGGTATGTCTAGTATGATCTCTACATACAAACATATACGCTGCCCCCCACCCGGTATTTTATAGGCTACAGCGCCGTAGGTAGGTATACCCATATGCACGACATAGGTAGGTATTGCGACCTCGCCACTTCACTGCCTGCAGTGATATCCCAGAGCCCGTTCCGTTGAGCAGAAGTCGTCTCAAGGGGGGTGACATGTAAATCTTCTTCGACGTGTAGTGTCGAGTAGGTTATACACGCGCATGCGTACGGATAAGCCTCTATCAAAGCACCACTTCGCCACAAGCCAATACCCGCATAGGCTATCGATACCGTCCTGTATAGGTATATGCCTCCTATCTCAGCTCTCGTCGGCCATCTCGTGAGATCATCGAGACTTTGCCCTTCGACGAACGCAAGGCGCAGAAGCCGTCTGCAAAGGTACAGATGGGTACGCGGCTTCCTTGCCGCTATGTACCTAGCCACCCACCCACCTAGCGATGATGTATGAGTAGGTAGCAATGCCTATCATGTTCGCCAAACGGGAAGGGCGGCGCTGGGTGAGAGGGTCAGAGGGATAGTGTGTGATGAACTAATGCGGCCAGGCTCGACACGGCGACAACATCTCGCTGCTAATAAGTCTCGACGGGCCGACACTATACACCTACCATCTGTCAGAGAATATCGAGAGCCGAAATGCGAAGGCTTGGCGAATTGTGAGCCTTAGATACGAGGCATTCACGGCGAGGAGATTCGGCTCCGTTGCCTTTGAAGCTCAATGCTTAAACAAGAGACGTGCGCAACCTACCGACGATGGGGCGCGATTTGGTTAACCTCAGAGGTACCTAGGTAGTTACTCTCTAAGGGGCGCGAACGTTAAATTATGCAGGTATGTACCTAGGTATCCCCCCTTACCTCATAAGGTATCCCGTAAGGTCCAAAGCAGGAGGTACCCAAAATGCTCCTTTTGGACATATGAAAAATACCTTAGGTACCTAGGTTACCCGCTTTACCCGCTTTACCCTACCTTAGGTAGAGGTAGGTGGTGGCATCTAAAGGCACGTAATCACTCCCGAGCAAATTTGTATGTTAATTCATCGTAGAGTTACCTATGCGCATCACTTAAAGTACCTAACAGTTAGAGCTTAGGTACCCCTATTATAGAGACGTTAGTTTTAAGCAGATTAAAGGCGCGAGGGCGCGGTTCCGGGCCAGGGGATAACATCAGGTCGAAGATCCTAGAGGTGAGTCGCAAGGGGAGCGGGAGATGAAGGGGAACCTCGAGGACTATCTGGGCCGATCATCAAGAGAGCATTCACGTAGGTTAGGTACTTGGGTACCTAAGGTGCCCGCCAACCGCTAACTAACAGCCCCGGCTCTTATTCAACGCCTAAATCTCCCCGCAGCGGAATTTGGTTGGAAGGTTCCTGGGATAGAGGTATGACGTAGGTACGTAGTGTCTAACAGCATCCTACACGTACCTCTTAAGAGAGGTGTGTACCTGGGTATGTATGCAGGTACTTGGAAAACGTGTTGGAGTCGGGCGTGTTGGGGCTTTGAAGCTTGTGACGTATACCTACGACGTATAGAACGACCTACCTACCTAGGTACCTCCTACCTGGCGCCGCGTCTCTCGCGCCGCTAGGTCCACCCTAAACAAGAAACAGGGAGGTTAGATAAATACCTATCTAGGTAGGTAGACTCAGAAAACAAAATATATCATCCTCACATGGTTTTGGTGGACCAACTGGGCCTCACGGGATCTGAGAATGGTAGTCAAGCATGTATGCCTCGACCAAATTCACCGACCAAGTCCCCATAGTCGTTGTTTTCTGCGCCCTGAAATCTTCCCACCAATCCTAAACATCTCTCACCGATTGCCCCTCCTCTTGGCCCTGGGCGCGGCTTGCAGATAGCCAACTGGTCGACCTGCCACCGTGACGAGGCATTGTAGTTTACTTTAATACAGCCGGCGAAGAGACCGCGTCGTTCCCTATGAGTGGGCTAGTAGACGGCACTCGCCGGACGCCCAATCGGCCAAAGCAGCACATTTGCCAAATCAACTCAGGCGGTCTCCATGCGCCGTGTTGCCGCCATCCCCTAGAGGCGCCGGTAGCCATATGCACGAGCAGGTAGACCGAACAATGTGGCGTCAAGACCGAAGATGACTAAGCTCACTATCAATCGCAGTGTTGGGGGCCACAAGACCACTAAGAGGTAGGTAGGTAGGTATAGCCCGCAGACGGCGACGGAGAAGATGAATGGACAGGATAGGAAGAAGAGCAAGTTGCGTCCGGTCCGCCCCAGGCACCCCACTCTTGCCGGTCGGTATAGTCATAAATGAACCAGGCAGTATTGAATTGCGCCGACCGCAAATGCAGACAAAATCTTGGCTTGGCGAGGAGGGCTCACGTAATGGCGAGAGCAAGAACTC